ATACCTCGCTCGCCTCGCAGACTTCGGGCTACTGAATCCACCCTTTCTCGGCGCTACGTTCCTCGCACAATACGAATACGCGCGCTACTCTACCACGAGTTTGACGGAGACAGAATTCAGAGATATCATGGCCGTCTTCGCAGAGATACTCAGTGGGATGACAGAAGTCGACCCCGAAGTTATCGAAGAAGCACGCGCGCAGGACATCGAGTCTGATACGCGCAGCCTCGCACCCACAGAGTCCAGCTCCGAATCAAGCATCTCCTCGCACTCACACCTGCCCTACCGCACACCCCAACTCGAGCGCCAAATCTCCTTGTCCTCTTTCAACAGTTCCCTCTCCACCTCCGATAGTGGTTCAACTCCACATTCGCCTCAGACCGTCCGCACCGCACCATCGCGCCAACAGCGCAGCTCCACTATATTTAGCACGCCACGCACACCCTCACAAAGATCATATGCAGATGCAGAGTCGGACACAGGATCTGTTGTGGTTCATGAAAGACCGCGAAGAAGTCCAAGTACCTTGTTACCCAACTCGAGTGAGAGTTCTTTGGGCAGTGCTGGAAGTGTCATTCGCTTGCATCCTAATCCGAGTGAGGGAGACTTGCCGTACGAGTACAACATTGATGCCGGGTGAAAAGACGGGAGTGCGTGTTAGAAAGCACATCGACACTACATACACAAGCCTGTTTAAAACCGAGTCAGAGGCATAGCCAACATACAGCGATGTCCAGTGACGGGTTACAGGAACGATCAGAGACTTCCACAGAGAAGGAGAAGGGCACGATAGTGGCGCCAGATTTCGGAGTCACGCTATCAACAGCGCAGAAGCAGCGGTCTGTAGGGAAACGGCATCAATGGCCAGGAGGACAAGAAAGGAATCAAATCTGCGCATGCGGACGTACACAGGAAGCATTGTATCCAGCCAGCTTGGTTGAAGCGAAAACGTCCAGCGAACATTGTATATAGCATTCACACCACATACCATTTTACTCTTCATAACATTATGTAATTGAATTATATTTCACAAAACGTTCGAGAACACATTTACTTTCATCGTATGAGCATAAGCCATTATTGAGACTTACTCGGCCACCCAAACAGCAGCCATACCCATACCAGTACCAATGCACATGCTAGTAACACCAATGCTCTGCTTTGTCCTCCTAAGCTCCGTAAGAAGCGTGCTAACCTGCCTAGCACCTGTGACACCCAACGGATGTCCAAAAGCAATAGCACCACCCTTGGGGTTCACCTTCTTCTGGTCCAAGCCAAGTTCGTTGATGCAGTAGAGGCACTGGCTAGCAAACGCCTCGTTGATCTCGTAAATGTCCACATCCTGCTTGTTCAAGCCAGTCTTCTCGAGGACAACGGGGATAGCGGCAGCGGGGCCTACACCCATCATGAGGGGCGGCACACCGACAATGGAAGCTTGGACAAACTTTCCAATGATTTTTTGGCCGAGGCGCTGAGCCGTGCTACGCTTCATGAGAAGAACGGCAGCGGCACCGTCGGAGATTTGAGAAGCGTTGCCGCCGTGGATGGAACCGTCTTTTGCAAACGCAGGACGGATCTTACTAAGAGATTCTGCGGTAACGCCCTCCCTGACACCATCATCCTTGGAAACAGTGATGGTCTCTTCCTTCTTGGTCTTGGGGTTCGTCCACTGGACGGTCACAGGCGCGATCTCCTCATCGAACAGCCCTTGTTTCTGCGCCTCGGTAGCCTTCTGGAACGACGACGCGGCGAATGCATCTTGCTCGCTACGGGAGATACCCTTGGCCTTTGCCATTTGCTCTGAAAGTACACCCATAGGGACCTTGCAGTTTGCAGATTCCTTGTGGGATTCGAGGAGCTCAGAGAACTCAGATACGGCGCCAGGACCATACTGTGTGCTCATGCTCTCAGCGCCGGCGCCGATACCAACCTCGATCATGCCCGACTTGATGGCATTGGCAATGTCAACACATGCTTGTAGACCGGAGGAGCATTGCCTGTTCAAGCTCTTTGTTGCGGTTGTGGTAGGGAAGCCAGCGGCGAGGGCTGCGGCGCGGAACTCGGTTGCACCGCCTCCTGGGGCGAGGACAGCGCCAACAGCAATGTCTTCGACGAGGTTGGGATCGATGCCGGAGCGCTCAATGAGGGCCTTGTAGGCACCGTGGAGGAGGTCGGATGCTTGGGTGTCTTTGAAGCCACCCTTTCCGCCCTTTGTGATGGCGGTACGGAGTGCGCAGGTTACGACAATCTATTGAGATGATTGTTAGTACAGTACTCCGCAGACAAAAAGAGCCCTCAGGTGTATGGACATCACAAGCTAATGCGATAGGCTCGAAAGCGCTAGTGTCGCATCGTTCAAAGATGGGATGTGCAACTCACGTCGTCAGGCTTCTTCTCCAACAGACTCTTCTTTCCCTTGGAGCTCACTGCTCCAGGGCTCCCACTTCCACCTGTGAGATGGCCCTCGACCTGCGTAAGGCGTTCCTGAACTTATAAAACGTCAGCGATCTCGTTCATCACTCGTTGTCCTCGCTGTCTATGCATAACATACCTTTGTTGGGTGCTTGGTTGGCCATTTTGAATAGTAATGTTAATACAGAAGCTGTGTAAAGAAAGAACTAGAGAAGGGGGCTTGGAGTGAAGTATATGGAGCAGCGGACACTACTGTTCGGTCGCGGCAAGCATTAGGTCATTCGCATGCGAATCGCCGAGGTACGTTACGTTTCAGGTTAGCTCGTTTGTGGGGCGCGTCATCCTTTCTGGGGGAGCTAGCTTTCACATGCTCAATATGCGGGCGGCTGGGGTGTCTGCGGACGCTTCACATGTCAATCTGCGCAGTTTGGAAACATTTCCTGATCATGTGCTGCTTGGTGGAGCTGACTGCTGAGTTGCTGATGCTGACCGAAGACATATGTCGCACCAACTAGTGGACATGCAGGTATCCGAGGTGAAGAATATGGTATTGGCGACCGTCTAAAGCCAACGGACACACCGACTACAAGTTGTTCCTCAAGAAGTCTACCAAGCGGAATATTGAGGTAATGTGACAAGACATATCTACGGCCATGTAAAGCCGACCGCCCCGGAACGCCCTGCTCAAACACATCCATCTAATCATGAAAATAATCCTCGGCTCACCGCCTTGCTTCCTCTTCCTGCCATGGATTGTTCATCACCTGTCTCTCCAGTTCGTCTGCAATGCTACCTCTCTGAACCTCCTCATATCCTGGCGGTGGGTCTGACGGAGGCTCAAAATGCTCCTGTTGTGTTCGCGGGCTCGATAACGGACTCGATGCCTGTGGGCTTGATGGCGTAGGCGCCGCAATAACAGGACCGCCGGTACCAAATGCAGAACCATCCAACGGCGGGCTAAGAGGGGGCTCTGGAACTCTGGCGTGTTGTCTGCTCTCCTCGTATGCAGGTAGGTCTTCCAGATGTACGTTGTTCATGTTGACACCGCCAACGCCTCTGCTTCCATCTTCCATGTCACCACCACTCTCCCGCGCTACCTCAACAGCTTGCCGTAACCGCTCTTTTAACCGCTCAAATATGCTTGCGAAGTCGAACGCGCCGCCTTCCTTAAACTCCATGACCAGGTCTAGCTCAGCGTGTTGTGGTGGTATGCCGCCACCTTGGACGGGCTGGATAATGGCTTCCCATTTGTTTGCGCCAAACCAGGGTGCTGTTACGCGGGAATCTGTGACGTTGAGGATGGGTACGGCGAAGGATTGGAGTTGTGGTGTTGGGGTGACAGGGAGGTAGATCATCTAAATGTGAAGGTTAGGCGGCAAGGTCCACAAAATGGGGAGGCCGTATACACACCCGTCGATTTGTGAGGTATACAACACCCGACTTGCATTGCTGCGAGTACGACTCGCTGGGATGATTCCGATGGCTAGTCTGTAGCGAGAGTGTGGTTCGAGGAGGAGACTGGTAGAGTGTCTGTTCGCCAGGGAGAGGTGTGTACCCGCCATTCTCAGCGAGCATGACCCAACTAGTTTTGCGGTTAGGCTTCGTCTTCTTCATCTTTTCCGTCTTGAACCCCATTCTGCTATCCTGAAATGAAAGTTGCCTCAAAAGTACGCCCAAAAGCTACATGCACAATCCGCGGGGTAGTAGAGGGGCAATACGAAGTGCAGCAAGCAAACACCACCAGGTCAGGACGGAGAGAGAATAGACGGAACGAAGAGAGAAGGAGGAGAGGATACTAACTTGACAGACATGGTTGAAACCGACTTGCAGCAAACTTGTTCACGGATAAAGCGTGAATAGTTCGCCCACCAAAGTGTCAATGCAAGCCAACCTTCCTTGTGGGATTGCACTAAGTGTGCCTGCGTGTGAAGTGCCCGCCTGGATATCTATCGGCCCGACCACCGCTGCCTATCAGATGCCGTGTTGCGGTTCCCGCGCAAATGCGAGTGATCTATTTAGCGTGTTGCGTGGGGACGAACGGTGGGGTTGCTAAGGTCTCGAAGTGCGCTGGGGCTGCCTGTCGCGGCGAGCGCGGTTGTCGCGAATGCAAAAAGTGTGGGTTGGAACGGGGTTTATGAACGGCGGGAGGATGCAAGATGCAAAGGTGTGTTCTTAAAACGTGTATGCAGCTCGGGTGCGGTATTTACGTATTCCGACCAAAGACTCCAGGATTGATGCTTTTGTAATAGGTAATGCAACGTTCTGCAGCTGGTGACGATCCCGTGAGACAAGCTTGCGTCACTTGCTGTTTGTGGAACTTCCAAGCCTTCCAGGCCTTAGGCATGGCAGTCATCGGGCGAGATTAGGCGGAGCACAACGCGTGTTGATCGTACAAACATGCATACGTTCACAGATCTCGTTTACTCTTAAGTGGTATGTTTCATTCATAGCCGTAGCCGTTACTTATCAAACGCCATTACCCGCCCGCCGCTAATGCTAATATTGACTCGATCGACACATGCAGTAATGACTCGGAGTAGACAATCGCTATATGCTAGAGACAAAAATAATACACCAACACAAAATATTCAGGGCTCCTCCCTCTCGGTGACCGTCCAGCGCCTCTTAGGCCCTTGACGGTGTTCATACACGTCATCCAACTTTGGTGGTCCCCAAAGCCCAGTATTGCTCTTGGGGGCTACTTTCGCGCCCCAAAGACCGCCAGATGTTGTCGGGGCGCTCTGTTTGCGGACTTGGGCACTGACTAGAGGAGTGGGTTTATCGCTGACCTCCCTCTCTTCTTTAGAGTCCAATTTCGTCAGGTGGTTGCTTGTGTCTGATGCACCGTCCATCTGTGCAATCGAGTTGCTCTTGGATTTGGATGCAGTGGAAGTCTTAGGAGCAGCCTTTGATTGTGGATGCTGGTTTGAGAAGTTGAGGGTCATGTCCGCTTCGGTCGCCGGTGTGCTTGTCCCTGAACCTCCCCATAATCCGCCTGCTGGAGACGCGGTCCCGCTTGTCGCACTTTGCATGAACCTTGAATTCGATCCAGAGCTCAAAGTTCGCCGCATGCTTCCCAACGAGCTCAGACTGTTTCTGTACGGCTCACCAAGCGAGAAGGGCGAGTCAAGTGGACTGCTAGTCGTCGAAGATCCCGTGAATCTTCGCCGCGAGTCTAACGACGGGCTTGCTAGGATGGCTGGAGATTGTGTCTGCCTCTGCGCAGATAGCGGCTTCGAAGGATCGACACCAGGCCGCAGATGGTCGACTGAAGCTGAGAGCTTCATGTCGTAGGTATCTGACATGCCGGGATCCGCTACCGAAAGTCTGCGCTGATGTATTGTGGCCGGCGCAGGTGTCTTTTTAGGCTCGTCTCTCCGAACGGCCATGGAAAGCGATGCTAGACCAATGTCCATCAAGACGGGCTGGTTTGTCATGGCACCTAGCAGAGCATTGCACCCTGCTCCATGAGTTATGAGAATCAGAACCAGCTCTTCCTCATCATCCGCGGTCGAATCGTCGCTGAAGTTTGGGAAGGGGTCGGATTTCGCATGCGATATGGGTGGCGGTGTCAGGCGCAAGGGTTCCTTGAACATGAAGCCGGGAAATTGATCCTTCGGGGGTGCTGTGCCGTGGACTCTATACCACTCCATCATGCCCGCAAGGCCTCTCCTAAACCGCTTGTGCATTGTGCTCCATTCATCGCCGTACTCTCCGCCATCGCCCCAGTTTTGTGGTGGACGCATACTGTCCCATTGGAAGTCTACTTTGACGCAGGCTTCTTGGGCATGCGCGACGTAGCCTCGCGGTATCGGATCGGCCGGAGAGACGGAGTACGAAGGGTTTGGCGGCTGGTAAACGCGTTTGGGTACAGCGGTGGGCTTTGGCGTTTGTATGGGCAGTGCTAGTGGCGCGGTTGCTTCTCTTGACGGCGTTCGTTCGAGACCTAGTGGGCCAGCGTAACTGCTTGAGCGCTCGCGCAGTGGCGCAAACTGTGCCAGACTGCCCATGGCTGTACCAGCGCTCTTGCCAGCGGTGGGTGTGCTGGTCCCAGACCCCCAACCGCCCGGAAAGTTGCCCTTGGTGCTGTTCGGGTTTGGCTGTTCTTGTATGTAGTCGCCTCTGCGCAGTAGATCTGCTTTGGCGCCTGCCACCATCATGGTCGAGTTTGGCGGCGCTGTGATGTCAGCGTAGTATTCGGGAGACAGCCATTCGCCCAGGAAGGCATCGATGCGCAGCAACACCCTCTCCGGGCCTGTGTGGGGTCGCGGTAGTATCTCGAGATTGGGGTCGGCGAGCGGTTCGAAGGTTCGGGGCTGCGACGAGGTAGATTTAGTGCGCGGCGCCTTCTTCGCAGAGGGAGCCAGCGAGCCATTGTTGTCTTTGGAGGGGGGTGTAGGCACGCCCAATTGTGGCGTGGTCGGAGCATGGTATTGCGAGATACCCGCTGCTACTGCCGTGCTCGTCTGGACGCATCGTAGGAAGGGGCTCGAGTGTATGACGATCTTGCGCTTCTTCTTCTTGGGTCCCCCCTCTTTCGAGATGCTCAGCTTGCTCAGGTCGAGATGTGCAGGGTCGTTGCTGGTCGCGTTCTTCGCCTCCTCTGCCTGCTGGATATCTCGTTCGTGCAGCAGTGCCGCTATACGCTGGCCGAGTGCCTTTGCTTGCGACCACCCACCATAAGTGAGAGGCGGGTCGTAGGGCGTCGGTGAGGAGAGATGCCATGCTTTGTCGGCCGCATCGAGACGCGCGCCATGTCTGCGCAGGATGTTAGCGATCTAGCCGGAGTGTGGAGTCGTGAAGGGTGGGTGAGACGGTACCTGGCGACGACTACGACTGCAGGACCCTTTGCCATGCCCCGCTAAAGATGGCTCGCGTCTTGCGTGCAGGAGGAGTCAGCTTGCCTGTGCGACTGTGGCAGATGCGATGCGCCTCCAATACGAATAAGCAAGTTGGTAGGCTTTATGTACGAGGATTGGGAGGGCGTGAAAAGAAAAGTCAAGTAGGCGGCGGCAAAGCTGCGAGTCGTCAAGTGATGCTCCAGGGTTCAACTGTAAGTTTGCGACCCTGCATTGCACAACGCTATGACACCATCGTCGCCCGCAAAGACAGCTGCAGCGAGCATGCCACCCTCGTCCCTCGCTCAAACACAGCTGGAGCGAGCCCAGGGCCACCTGCGTGTTTCGCCGCTCCGCTCCGCTCCGTCGCAGTTTCTCCGCCATGCTACCTACGCACATCTTGTTTACAAAACAGAAACAAACTTGTCGCGCTCCCATATGTCATCTCGTCGTCCGCCGGCGGAGTTAAGACGCTGGTGGGGCCCTACGAGCAACGCCACCAATTTGCATGTGATGACTGATCTGGATTGACTAAACACTCCTACTCGAGATAATCTCCGTTTGTCTCCTTGTGTATCACGTCGAACAACGGCTTCGCACTAAACCACCCAGCCAGCGTACTCCCGATCGTCTTGTGTGTGTAGACCGCGTCCTCCTCCGTAATCTTCACAGTCTCCCCGCCTCGTCCCGCCGCCGCCGCGTCCGCCATCAGCTGTGCTTGACAGCACTTCTCCATGCTTATGAACCAGAACACCGCCTCCTCCACACTCTTGCCCACGGTCAACAGGCCATGGTTCTGGAGTAACGCCGCCTTCTTGTCGCCCAGGCACTTTGCAATGTTCTTGCCCTCCTCCGCGGCTAGTACGACGCCGTTAAACGACTCGTAAATAACGTGGTCGTTGTGGAACGCGCATGAGTCTTGCGTGATGGTGTCCAGTTTGCGACCTAGCGCGCAGAACGTGCGGCCGTAGATGGAGTGCGAGTGTGCTGCAGCGATGACATCGGGGCGCGCGTCATGGACAGCATGGTGTATCATATAAGCTGCTGTGTTCAGCAGTCGGCACTCTCCACCATCGATGACTTCGCCTTTGTCATTGACAAGGATGAGATCGGAAGACTTGATCAAGCTGAAAGCAACACCGAATGGGTTGACCCAAAATGTTGTCGGATCTACAGGGTCCTATATGGTCTTAGTATCTCGTATGTCTGTTATGTGCTCTACTTACCCTCAACGTGATGTGACCAGCCACACCTTCGTCAAAGCCATATTTGCCAAAGATGCGGAAGGCAGCCGCAAGCCGGCCCTTCAGATATGCTCGCTCTTTGTATGGATCGTCAAACTTTGGCGGCTTGGGGAATTTAAGCATCTCCGCCTTTCCATCTTTCTGGTTCAGACCAGGCTCGTTTGGGGCAACCGTGTTGGGCTTGGTCTCGTCGCCTGCTTGGGGCTCAATCGCCGACGGAGGAGACATGTTTGTGATTTTTGAACTGCAAAGTTGACAAGAAGTGAGGATTGTACAATTGAGAAGAGGTCAATAGAAAGCCTTGGAAGTGGCAGCAGGAAGAAGGCACGTTCTCTGTAGTGTCAACAAATGGAAGTCGCGATGCAGTGACTGCCTTCGTACGAGGCGAGATAGACTTCCTTTACCTCGGATCTAACACGTAACTCTATCTGTTCGAGAGCATTATCGGAATCGTCCGATCACCGCTATCCGGCGTTTGCAACGCCAAAGCAGATGCCGTGGTTGGTCAGGTCCTGATAACTGGATGCAGGTGCGGGGCATATGCGCGGGGTAAGCCCTGGATACCGCTCTTCGGCATCCTAGGCAAGCGAATACTCACGGCGGAGACATAAAACTTCCCGTGATTACAACTGATAGTATCAAGGTGATATCTGACAGCAAGAACATACATGCGTAAATGGGATTGATGTCCCCAAGGTGGGTGAGAACTTGACGTCTATCACAGTGTGGTTGTATCTTATCTATCAGAACGTTGAAGCTGGGGCCAGCACTTTACGACGATGTTGAGAAGACAATGCTGATGCTCTAGGTCGGGACGACTGGAATGCAGTCCCCTGTAATGCTTATTTTCGGCGCATATCCTACACCTTCGACCATCATAGTCAGTACGAAGACCACCCTGCATCATGTCGTGCAGCCGGAGGATGGCCACACAGCTGCAGTATACTCGGGGTCTAACGTAGCGCCACTCTGCCACTACAGGGCATACATGTGCTGATCAGTAGAACATATTGCTGCAAGCACTCTATTGGGCAAAAGATTCGGGCATCACCCTGCATCGCTGGAACTCAAAAGTCTCCCATTGCAATATCTAAATTGATAGAGCAATTGAGTAAGTCCCAAGTATTTATGCCTTCTTGTAAACATGCAGGCTGACCTCCACCGGGTAATAACATTCTTTTTCGCGACGTACGTATGACGGCATTTTGGTTCCGCGAGTCGTTCTCGAGAGACAACCCACAGTAAGTTTCATGCACGAATGCATGCAGCCTCGTGGTGATGGGCACGGTGAGACCGAGTCGTGTCAGAAGCTGTGATTGACACTCTGACATGCCGCTTTCCCGTGGCGGTGCCACGAACGTTCAGCTGAAAGAAGGTTGCTTCGCTTGTGGCAACCAATATGAAGTGGAGTTGTCCTGGTCAAAATAACAGAATCGGACAGAAAGCGAACCGCTCCACCTGATGCTGCATGGCAATTTCAGGATCACAAAGAGGAAAGCCAATCAGCCGTGTTGCGCATGGGTGTGCGGCGAACCCGATTAAGTGGGGGTCGCGTACTGTGATCAGACGGGCTGCTCCCGTAAACTCGATCGGCAGTCTGTTCGCGGTACTTGCGCAGTGACTTCAGATGTAGGGGGTGTTTCCGTGTCAGAGGCTGAGCAGCATGCTTGAGTGAGTCGGCACTGGGTAAGATGAACACTTGTGACATTCTGCGCGATCGAACGCTATTGTCTCATGAACTTCGATTGTGATGGATTTCGTCGTGTCGCTTCTTCAAAGGGTAATGAAGTTCCATTTCAGTCTCACCGGAGAGTTTCTGCAATACGCTCCACCGTTCGTGGGTAGCCGAGAAGTAGCGTGCGTACAGTCGGAGGAAAGCATGCGCATCTGAGGACTGCACCGGACCGCCCGGGCATTGTAACCTTTGTAAAGCTACGTCGCGATATTTGGTAACGCTCGGATATGTCTTCTAACTTTCAGAGCTAATAACTATCCAATTGAAGGCATAGCTGCGCACTGGTACCGTTTTCCGTAGCAAGTACGGTCCACCACAGGGCTGAACCACGATTGCAACTCTGCAACAGGGTGACATTTCGTACCAAGTGTCAGGAGTTCACCGATAGCTGATAGACGCGCCATCGCTCAGGGTAGCGCCACGTTGTTCAATAATATTCAATTGCCTGCATTCACTGCATGTGGAGTGTCGGCAGTGAGCGATCGAACAGTGTCCGAACAATGACGCCTGATGTGCATCATCGATAGTGGAGACGCGCATTACCGCCGACATTGTTGAATGCTTCCCAAGTCTGATGCGGCCTCTGCTAAGAGCACGCGATGTTGCGATGGCCTCCACACTTGGATACTCATTCGCAAGCGTTGTCTAAGCTTGCTCAAAACCTAATGCCTTACAGGGTACCTGAGCACGAAGATCCCAAACGTGGATCAATCAAACCATTTCCTTGACGAGTAATCCAGGCTTTCGGAATGGGACAACGATTGGCTCTGCAGGTCCGGACCGCGACGACCTGCCGCCGGGGATCCAGATGATGTGATTTGGACCCGGTCTCTCGAGCCGGATGCCAATTGCCTGACGCGTGGTGCTCCCAATAAGGAAAACTGCAGGTGATAAAGTGCCAAAAAGGTTATTGGTAGGATGCGCCATCGTCTAAAGCGACTAGAGCTGGAGATGGAGACAGCCTTGCAAGTGGAGATAGGTGGAGGTCACGATCTGCGGCTCGAGTCCAAGCTCTCGCATGACGCAGCGTGGGGACGCGAAAAAAGAACAAATCCGACGAAACAATCACACGGGGATAGAATGGAATGCCAGCCTCGAACAGCCTTACAATGTTCCTGCAGAGTTTTCCTTCTTTCGGATTTTCTCACTTGGATCAAAATGTCCGTCCGGTCGTTTGATGTCGTCTAGAGACGTGTCCAACCATGTCATTGCGGATCGATAAGCGAGCTTTGCCGGGGAAGCCAACATCGACAAGAAAGGCTAAAAAGAAAATGCCAAAAGCCAGAAACGTGTCGACTGCTTCTCTCCGCGGCTGGTGAATGGCTCTGCTGAGACCCCGGGCATCTCGTGTACCGATTCCCGGGCAGCGCAAGAGATCGATATGAATGGTGGGTCTTGTTAATTCCCTGCTCCCATCAGCTCTGCACACTGCCTTAGCGGGCCGCCCATCGCTGATGCCAGAAGCAGATCCACTCCAAGGCCTGCAGATATTGGCAAGAAAGCGATTTCAATGGGCCGCTTAACCCAAGAGCGGGAGGACCGTTCCTCCGCCCGCAGATCCACCTGGCCTCTTTGCGACAGTTCAGCACCCATTGTGGTCCACACGAGGTCCACACCAGAGGATTTCGGTCAACCCCGCCTCTATCCTAAACTCCTTCTACCTTAGCGAGACATCCCGTGCGATCTTCTAGTCCTACGGCAGACATGGTCGCCGACCACCATTAGAAGGAGCTAGCGGGTTACTGGTCTTCGCTTGTGCGTTATTGTGGCTTGCCTGAGAACGACATCGAACTTATCGGCGGTTCCTTTGATCGACGCCTCGTCGAGCATGCAAGGAGACAGCACCCTGACGGGAGCGGAGACGGATATGGCGCTTTGTGCTGTTCGTCCAAAAGCAAGCATGCAAAATGAAACGCTAGACATGTGATGTATCACTCCTGCAGAATACATGTCGTTGACATGGTACACACTACCGCTCTACTGGAATCTTGTTCTCCGACAGTCTAGTACAGCCCCGAAGAGCTGCAGATCTCACTAAGCTGTGAGGGACGAGGATCTTGACCACTTCCCCCAAGGCTCTGGTGATTACGCTGGAAGCCATGATAGCTGTATGCTACCAATCTTGAACAAAGAGCTCTTCTAGACTGGCAATAATGTATAGGGAATGGTAGATCTGCTGATTGGTCTCTTGGTCCGACCCAATGCTGACTGATATGAAGGCCACTCTAATCATCATAGCTCAAGCTTCCCCACTCTGTCCAAGTCCTTAGTCGCATTGGCTTGTTGTAGCCGACTACGAGGCAAGCGCAGCCTCCCCACGTACTCCATACGGTGGAGCTCATGCACCATGCTTGCGCGTCAATGCACTCACTCATGCCAAAAACGACTACCAGACGTGTCATGCTCGGTTACGATGCATGATCGCCGACCTGCATTATCGACCTTAGGGTTGTCTTGAGCTATCCATGAAGCTCATCCTGGCTCAGCTGAATTAGCTCATGCGGGCCAGAGCTGTTAACACACTTTGGGATATTCACCAGCTCACACTATGACGGTAAGCTGTTGATCTATACTGTCAAGGTACATATGCCCCGCTCGTGGTCTGTGAGGTCCACCTCAACCGATCGTAGCTGTAGAAGGTATTTCATTATATAGAGACGGCTCGTGGACTATTCGGTACATATTCTTCATGTTACTCCCAATCCATGTTACAGATTTTCAGTAAGTCGCCATCTTTTCCCACATAGCGCTGTGCTGATCCCCCTCTTCTAGAGAGACATAAAAAGAGACGCTCCCAGGCAACTGAAGATCCTCAAACCACAAATAGACGCTCATCCTCCCTGGCATCTATTGAGACTGACACAACATCGTCTCCTCCTTCTACGAGGTATTCATCTTCGCCGCCGTCATTACCAGTGTCCAAAGGCCGACCATCTCCTGCACAGATCAGTTACTCTACCTCCGCAGTACCTGAACTCCAACTCCACACAGTACCTGAAGCTACTGTAAGACCTGCTCCAGTAATAAGGAACTCCTTGCCACTCTCAGCGTCAGCGTCTTCCACCTCGGCTGTATCTACACCGACTCGTGTTATTCCTACAACACCGAACTCAACAGGCCGTAACACACAGCTTGTTTTTGAACTGTCTCCTCAGCCAGACAGTCCAACTTCTCCATCTCCTGTCCGCTCTCAACCATACAATCCACCCTCTCCATCACCCATCCGGCCCTCAGTGAGCGCCTCAGTCTCCACTGAATCTGTAGATACAATCAAACCACTACAACCTTCGACGCCTATCATGCAAACAACTCGACCCACTTCAAGTCGGCAGCAGACAAACGGCGCGAGTGCGGTGCTGTCACCACCGGCTTCGCCTCAAGCTCTCTTCCGTACAAAGGGTCGTCTTCCATCATTCACATCTTCTCGCGCAACTAGCGGGAACTTCAGCACAATGATGTCGTACAACAAGCGAGGAAACAGCAACAGCCACCAAACCTCATTGGTCCAGGACTCGGCAGCCTCTCTCCGGAAGAGAAGTGCGGCCGAGTTAGGCGCAGGCGTTTACCAGAGCATCGGCAATGTCTCCTATGTTGCGTTTCTTGAATGGATCAGGTCCGAGCGTCTAACCACACTCCCCCACAAGGGTAGTCGTTGGGACAAAGTTCTGATCCGCGCGCTATACTTCGCTGAGCAGCTTCACAAATTCGAGCTAGCTGTGAGGCCCTTCGCCCAGGACAGCAGTTCAGCAGCCATCATCGGGTATGGTCATGCGCAGCTGCTTCTCGAGCTTAGCCACCACAACTCTGAGGCTCTTGACAAGGCTTTCTCCGTCTTCTACAAGTTCGCCATGTCATTCCAATCGGTTCTGCATCGTTCAGAGTTGTTGAACGCGAGTTCAGAAATTACCGAACAGATCTGTTTGTTGTACACAGATCTTATTACTCTTGTGGTCGACGTAGCAATCAAGTTCTACAAGACCGTCAAAGGCATGACACCTGGTTCAACCACCCTTGACATTTTCGAGCTGTTCGGTGAAACAATCGAGACCTTCCGTACCCGCCAGAATAATGTGGTTGAATTGATCTGGCAATCTCAGATTGAGAAGGGCCACTTTGAGGAAGAGGAAGCCATCGATGTTCAACATCTGAGCCGATGGCTATCTTCGCAAGATCGTGTGATTGCTGCAATCACCAGGGATCACGAGACTTACGTAGACAACCAAGCGGAGTTTACTTGTCTCTGGTTCCTCAAGCACATGACTAGATTCTTCCAGAGCGACAACCGCGTCTTCCTTGTCACTGGTCAGTCAGGTGCCGGAAAGACGACACTTGCTGGATCGATCGTTGAGCGATTGCAACGACCCATGAGCAAGAAGCAATACGACACACTTTTCTGCTCGTTATCTCCCGACATTCCGACTGCCGCTACATCATTAGCAGTGGTGAAGTCCTTGTTGTTCCAACTTCTCAATCTTCGCATTGGCAACATGGGCGTATACAAGGCTCTTTTCGACGCCTACCACCAATGCAGAAGCTCCGATGACCTCAAGGCCTACGAGGAATGCTTATGGCATGCGCTTGGCGAAGCTCTCAGGAACCCTGTCAGTGGTGGCAACGAACTGGTGATGATTGTCGACGGTCTTGACGAGATTGCGGCCTCTAACAGTGCCTCTATTCAAGCTGCTGGCGTTGTCAGCCCTGCTGATCTGCTTGAGAGGCTGGCTAAGGTCACTCAGCAGGGCAAGGGTGTAAGGCTGATCACATTGTCTTCTTCTATGAAGCTGCCGTCTTCGGCCAAGGGGATCCAGCATCAGATTATCAACGAAGATGTTCGTGACGATCTTCACGCTGTCGCACTACGGGCTCTGATTCACAACCACCACTTCCATGGTCAGCGTCCTTTCGAACAGGAACAAATCTTGGACCGTATCATTCGCATGGCGAACGGGTCATTCCTACACATCACATTGACTTGTGAGTTGCTGAATACCCAGAAGTCACCAGATGCCTTGATGAAGACACTGGAGGGTTTTGAATCTTCCAAGCCGTCTGTCCAGGACTTGATTCTCAAGCTCTTCACTACTCTAAACCCGACCAACGACGCAAAGACATTGCTATCGTGGGTTTTGGCCGCTGAGCGACCTCTGACCATCGACGAGATTCAGACCCTGTTCTCAGTCGACGTACAACGCGGCACTATATCAGAAAAGGGTGTGAACACGAACGAGATCTTCAAGACGCTCGCACCATTGTTCACTCTGCATCAACGCATAGTCCGCTTCAAGCACCCCGTCATTCACTCCACTCTGCATGACTTCTCAGCCAATGGAAAGATTCCTATCCCTCTGAAGGACAGCGAAACGGACATGCTTCTCAGGGTACTTGCTTACTCCAAGCATACTTTGAAGGACCACACAGCCGAACCGACTTTCGACACATTTGATCCTTCAACCCCCGACAGATTATTCAGGAAGCATCCTTTCCTCGAGTACGCAGTGCGATACTGGGTTCTTCATCTCCAGCAGTCTCCTCTGGCTCCTAAGTCGTCTGGCGAGTTCAAGCCCACCGGCGAACTTCAGAAGGTGTTCCCCGAAAGCACCATGTTCCCGATTCTGGAGTCTTACTGCTGGGATACCCAATTGCCTATCCCTGAGGCTCTGGAGTTACAGAGGCTTGTTAGCATCCTTCGCAAGAACATGCTCCCAGAGAACCACCCTGGTCTTCTCCAGACATATCTGTCAATTGTCACAAGCTATCTGCTCATCTCGAACGTTACGGAGGCCACGAAGTATCTCTACCTGTGTACTATCGTCAGTCGTAAGGTCTTGTCGGATATGCATCCCTTGACCTTGGATTGTGCAAGCCAGTTCTTGAAGATTACGGAGACTCAGACAACGACCACTAGGACTGAGATCATGACACGCCGTGAGGAAATTTTGAAGGTGTTGATTACCACCTATGAGCGTCAATACGGCAGCACCTCTGAGCTAGTTATCGAGACTCGCAAGGTTCTGGCCCAGCTTTACGAGACCATCAACGAACAGGAACGCTCCATTGAAATCTACCGCCTCATTCAGGATGCCACCATCCAGCTTTATGGCCGAGACTCGCATCAGGCCCATGATATCCATGATCATCTCCAAGTGACTCTTGGAAAGGGCACAGGCGATCGTGAGATTGAGATCTACGATGACTTCTCTTTCGAAGTTGACCAAGATGATGAAGAGCACGTCGAGATTCTCACCATTTCTACTATCAACGCAATGTTGATCCAGATCCAAAAGCTTCTCACTATGAAGAGGTTTGCTGAAGTCGAGAGGATGTACGTTGAGCTCTGGATGGAGGTCTCATCCAAATGCCGCACTGTCCAATCTGTGGAATGGCACGAGAAGAACATTGAGATTGCCACCTCTTATTCGCAGTTCTTGAAGAGTCAGAAGCGTACCAACGAGTCTGTGGCTATTCTGACCTCAGTCTGGCAGCAGTATGAGTCCCATCATCTGTCCTTTGCGAAGAGCATCGTTCAACGTCTCACAAGCGTTGCCAAGGAGATGAGAAGCATGAATGCGCACTCTCAAGCACTCTCAATTTTCAAGTTTGCCCATTCCTATTACCGCAAGTCCAGCAGCGAAGAGTCCTCTGAGTCGCGTGAAATCAGCCAGCAACTTTCCCAGACTTCCAATGAGCTCGTCCAGCATAGTCTGAACAGCTCTAGCTCTACAACGGAAACTACGACGACCATTTCGGAGTCTGTCTACCAAGACGTGTTTTTCACAACCATATCGAGCTCCAAGACTATTGAGTCTAGCACTATGGCGCTAGCCAAGAAGCTGGTAGTGCAACACATGGCGAAGAAGAACTACACTGCCGCCATCAGTGTTGTCCATGCTACTCTGCAGCGTACATGGTCTTCCTTCCTCGCCAACTCTATCCATGATGTCACCATGGCGACCGTGTTCACTCAGGAGTCAATCGAGCTTGTCGAGCGCCTCGCAGAATGCTATCTGCAGACACGACAGCTTGAAAGGGTCGACGATGTCTACAGCCGCTTCTTCCGCGCTGTTCTAGTCACCGAGAACGTTGACAAGGCCATTTTCGAGAAGTCGAAGAACCTGTTGATCAACTTCTACGACAAGCACGGCTACGCGGACAAGGCAATCAGCACCTACCAGGAGATCTTGGTTGTTTACCGCAACCGTCTGGGCCACACGCACGAGCACACCATCCAGACCTTGTATATCCTCGCTCAGAGATGCCGCAGCCACCCTCGCAACCATGGCTACTGGCTGGACTACTACCTGCAGATCCTCACGGCTCTCAACAAGGACTCTGATGTTTGCCACAAGGATGCTCTGGATGCTATGCTCGTTGTCACGGTCACCTACTGGGAAGACCGCAGGTACGCGGAAGCCGTAACCTTCTACAGAGTACTCTGGAACACTTTCGTCCGCCAGACCAAGCAGCACAAGGTCTTTACCGACGTCAAATTTGTTGAGACACTATACGAGCGATACTACCAGTGTCTGGAGGAGACCAAGGCCAGTTGGTCTGAACTCTACAAGGTGACCAAGGAGTACCGTGAGACTTCCATTGCCGTTTTTGGTGCTGAGTCGACCATCGCTGTCAACGCAACCCTTGCGCTCGCACAGGTGGCTCAGAGCAGCGAGCAGCATATGTCGGAGGCCATCTCGCTCTACGAGGCGGTCTCGCAGTCGGGTAAGCAGGTCATAACCACTACCAGCATCTCGGAGATCAAGCATGCACTGTCATCTCTCTACTCCAAGCAGATGCACTCTTCTTCTTCCAGCAGTATGAAGGCCGAGACCGTGCAGCGTGCTTTGAGTATGTCCGAGTCGCAGTTCGAGCAATCCACGCGCGAGAATGGATACAGCCATGAATCTTCGCTCACAAGCTTGAGGGAACTCTCGTCTCTATACTCGCGCCAGCAGAAGTCGGATGTTGCGGTTAAACAGATCTCAAGGACTGTCTCCGAGATCATTTCAAAGGAGACCTCCTCGCAGAAGCAGATCGAGTCCGCCAGGTCTATCGCTGCGACCTTCCAGGCTATTGAACAGGTCAACACTGCGCATGCGATGGTTCACGAGCTTCACCGTCAAATCTGCGCCAAGGACGCTCGCAACGCATCCAAGTGGTCATTTGACCTGACGAAGAGCGGCCGTACGGCTATCGCCTTCCTCGCATCTCTCCAATACAACCTTCGTAAAGATCTTAGCATCAGCTTCTCGGAGATCTACGCTGATTTGACCATGGAGTACATCTACTGGGTGCAGTTCCACCAGACTCTCGACAACAACGAGAGCCTTACCAACATCCTTCTGGCTGCCGCTCCTCTCCGTTACTTCCTGCGCCGCAACGACCAGAAGGACATGATTGCAGTTGTCGAGGAGCAAGCAGTTGGTCTCTTTGTCAAGCGTGACGCACAGGACTTGAAGGACTTCAGCAAGGAGTCGCCACGCATCTTCATCATTGGTATCCTTGACCATCTGGGCAACGGCCGCAACAAGAACTTCAACCGCGCCGTTATCCTGTCCTCTAATGAGAGCGTGGCCAAATGTACCAAGGCGAAGATGTTCCACGAGGCATACGACATCGCCAACCTTGGCTTCCTCTACGCCAGCAAGCATGACGGCTACAACGGCCCGCGTGCTATCAGCATGGGCTTCAAGCTTGCCTCGCTGCTTGTCGGCCGCGATGGCGAGAAGTGCCCCGACCCTACTCTTCGTAAGAAGATGCTGGTTCTCTCCAACCGTATTGTCAAGAAGATCTTCGAGATTTGCAGGAACCTCAAGATCAACTTTGCTCAGGTCCAGTTGTACGAGCTGAGCCACCTTTCGGTCCTCCTGGGCGAACAGGAAGACTACGAGAGTCTCGAGTGGCTCCTCACAACTCTCTGGCAGACACGCGACGCGCAAAAATCATGGCCCGCCGAGGTGCTCCTCAACCTTGGCCGCCGCCTCATTTGCGCTCGCTACCTTGCCAACGAGGAGGTCAAGGCCATCCGTCTCGCAGAAGACATTGCCTACAACATGCGCCGAGCCCACGGTCCCCGCGCTCCAGTCACCATCGAGACGTACGAGCTCCTCGCCCAGCTCTACACATCGACTGGCAACAAGTACCAAGCGCAAGCTGCCAAGGGCGAAAAGACCGCTGGCCTCGCCGCCGACTACTTCAAGAAGGCCATTGGCATTCACGAGGATATCCTCCGCGTCCTCGTCAACGACCCAGCCAATTCCGCCAACGAGGACGAGGATGACGATGACGATACCACCGCAGAGCTCCTCGCTCGCGAAGGTGTCAACGTCAACAACGCACCCAACTCGCCACCCTCTGCTGCTGTTGATTCCGACGCGCTCGACAAGTCGGCGACAGCGCTCAAGCACCTTCACCTCCTCAAGCTTGCGTACCAGCGCTACGGTGGCTGGCCCAAGTCTTACGACGAGTACGAGCACCTCAACGCCCAGTTGTTCCGCGTGTTCGGTTCAGAGGGCAAGTGGAAGGGTGTTGAGGGTACGGAGAAGTGGGATGCGAAGGCATTTGGTGCTGGCAAGGCTGAGAGCCAGGAGGGTGGCTTCCAGGGTATTGCGGACTGGAGTCTGGGAAGCGATGAGCTGGTCTCTATCGGTCACGGACACGGACAGGGTCAGCACACTGCCATGGTCAACGGAAATGCCATGTTGCACAACAAGAGGATCAATTAAGTGAGGGGCTTTTTGCTGCCTGTTCTTGTGAGCAGATTTTGATCATTTTTTGAAAAGTTCTGGTTTCAAGCACAGTTATCTAGTTGGTAATAGTAATGTTATGGCGTTCTTGAGTCGACTAACCCGTTCATCAACACTTTGGTGCTTTATTTGAGGCTTACATATATACAATGAATCTTTAAAATCTTCGCTCTCTTCTTTTTTTCTTTACTCTTTGCTCAATAACTCTGCGATTGAAGCTGCAGTGGCGTTGTGAATAGGGAAAGTAGGATGTAGCTCATTGAGCCACAAGTACTCATTGACTGGGTACTCGCAAGTGTCGTTCTTGGTGTACCAATCCGGTGTTCCACTGCAACTTTGTTAGCGCTACCCAGTTCGTCTGCATCCACATCGCCAGGAACAACTTACTTCATGTAGGCCGCGCAGTAGTCAGTGACATTCTTCAATCCGGCGGTTTGCTCATAACTAGCGGGGTTCTCAATGACGGCATTGAACAGACCCCAGGTATCATGTATAAAGGCAGTGGTTCCAGTATGGTTCGCCTGGAACGCGTTCACCATCTCACTGAGCCTCTTATTCCAATCCAGGATAACTTTACCCTCGTTCTCCTTTGCGTAACCACCGTCATCTTGGTTCAGCGTCATTGGCGCAAGATTGACAGGCGGCACGCTCAGGAACAAGAAGTTGCGGGCGCCGGTTGCGTATACGTCTTCGAGGAGGCTGCCGTATACAGAGAAGATGGTGTCGTAGAGCGTGGCGTTGTTGAGCCACCAGCTGTTTCCTACGTCGTTGATGCCGATGAAGAAGGCGAAGAGAGACGATGCGGATGACCAGGGTGCGGTATCCGGATGTGCACCATATGTGGGAAGGAATTCGGTGCGGACTTGGTTCTTCATGCTGATGACTGTGGGCGCGTATGGTGTTACGAGGTCGGAGTCAACAGTGGCGCCTCCATAGGCCATGTTGTAGGTAAGAAGGTCACTGGCATTGTAGGTTGTAGAGAGGAATCCAACCCAGTTGGGTCCGTTGGAGGACGTGTAGCCGGGGTACGCCGGGTTGCCGAACGGGTTTGAGGCGCTGGGTTGTGTTCCTTTCACGTCGAAGCCGGTCTGCGTATAGGAATCACCGAAGACGAATAGTTGTTTGACATTCTTCCAGCCAGACCATGATGAGCCGTTCGAGTATGGGGCAGCGAGGCCGGTAGTGGCGAGAGACAGCGCGAGAGCAGTTGATTTGACCATGTTGTTATGAGAGTCCTAGCAGTAACACAGAATGCAAGTAGCCAAGAGATGAGTTCTGAGGAGGAGCGGCCCGTTAAGTATGATGCGAACAGTATTGTACCAGTACCAAACTAATCCGGGTCTCCGGAACAGACGATCTACAGGTGCGAACGAGGTAAATTAGATGAAATTACTCGTTGTATGCAAATACCCCACATATTGGAAATAGAGGGCAAACTACACTGAATCGCTCGCGGAAGAATTCTGGAAAGACGTTTCTGATGCACTAAGAGGGTTGCGCGTGAGTAGTACGCGTAGAAATGCTTGTCCGGAATAGAGTCCGAAGGCATGATGCTCCGTGTTGAAATGGGTATAGCGGGATGATTTGCATCATCATGAACGCGAGGTAGCCTCGACATTGAGGAATTCGTACCTACGTTTGTCGATCTGAAACAAGATGTATAATGATGCCAGGACTTGCATCGTTCGAGGTGTTTGGTGGAAGTTGTGGCGTAGAGGGGGTGCTGCAGGCGGTGCGATTGTTTACGACAGTGTTAATAGCACAGTCCTGTTAGCCCCAAACGGCTTGGGCATAAAGTGAAGAGTACGCGATGCAGTGTGCCACCTCGAGCTGGGTGTGCAGACGCGTTGTGGTATACTTGTCCTCAAGTCTTGTTGTCGGGCTGGGTGGCTGGGAGGCTGGGAAGTTGTGCAGCCCGAACCCAACGCCAATTTTTCAAAAGCTTGCCCAGAGCTGAATTGCAGGGCGAAGTCAGATTATGAATGCGCAGCCTGGTTATTGTGTAAAAAAAGGCATGGTACGATGTGGTCAGATGCGTTGAGTGAAACAGGCCCTCGATTTGTTTCCAAGAGTGGGGCTGTCGCAGGTACTCGTTCATGGCTCGTATAGCTATCATGGATACGGCGAGTCGGTGTCCATGGCATCGGCCGGCAGGCCTCTGTCACGGGATGTAGAAGGCAAACAGCCCTGGAGTGGTCCACAGCAGTAAGGCATGATAACGGAGAGTCGGATGAAGCGGGAGCTGCAAGGCAGGAGTACTGGCATCGGCCGAGCAGGATATTTACAGTACATGTGCAGGCCTCGGGCGACGTCATATACGGAGAAGTTGCTTTGGCATGCTGCGATGGCACGAAAAGGGGAGAAAGGTAAGACGGATAAACAAGAAACAGTGTGGCTAGAAAGCCGGTTAGTCGAGTAGCTCAAACGGGGAAGAGGTGTAGAAGAATAATGGAGTGGCTGATGAAAGATGGCGTAAGGCTGAACAGGCTAACCAACGCAGACCCTGGGCGATGATGGTCCCAGCCGCCAGACAGCTGTAGCGTCGACACATGTCATGCAGGCATTGAAACATTCTCTGCACGCTGCGCTACGTCTTTTCTTAGCTGCTATAAGCAAAACCCTCTGCTAGTCTTGTCCCAGAAATCCAGGGAAACAAAAAGAAAGGCCTGCATCCCTGAACCGGTGCTCTACCAGACTACTCGGCCTCGCAGCAATCCGTATTCCGACTCACCACCACATCGTTGCCAGCGCGCCGTGAAGCTGACAAGGCACCGAAAACCCGACCGATCCTTACGAATCCGACGTCCGAAATGTCCGCTTGCTAGGAACAACGTCACAGCCGATCCCTGCATTCGCTCGACCGCCAAACGTTTATACAAACAGCCCTGCGTATTCAGCGTCCAAGCCCCGCGTATTGTCGGTACCAAGATCCACAGCCACAACCACAACAACCTCATACAGGAAGTAGTGTTACTGCACACAGCCAGTCATGGCTGGAATGGAGAACATCGAGGTGCATAGCAAGGTATGTGCAGTGTCCACGTCGCGCTCCCACGCTGATTGAAGCCAGTCGTACCTTGTAAGATGGGTCAATGTCAACTCAGGACATACCATATCATGGAGCGTTCAACCCCACAAGAAATCTATCAACTTCGGCATCTTCAAGCACCCCGGATCAGCCACCGGCGCAACTCCAAACCTGCCAGCCTCTGCGACTGTCGAAGCCGGTCCTGGCACCCCGAGCCTCGAGCCGCCTACAACGCGCGGACGCGGAGCCTCGACCTCACGAAACGATAGGACCGTCGTGTTAGAGAAGCTGGCGGCCATTGGGCTGAAGCAGGTGCACTGGCATGGGAAATGCGAGGCCGATTTGGTGTCTATGGGCACATACGACGTGCCAGCAGGAGAGGGTGGCATGTACGGATTGGTCTTTGACAACACCTTCTCCAAGACTGTTTCCAAGACAGCCACCTTCGTCCTCATGACATATCCGACGAATGCGGCGCCCAAGTCTGGCCATCACATGCACTATGCGCACGCCATGGCCGGCGCGAGCACAACGAGTCTCCCCAAATCGAGCCCCTCTATGGGCCCCGTCGAATCCTCGGAATCCTTACCACAAGCCTACGCCGAGCGACCAGGATCACAACATACGCAGAAACAAGCCAGTCTTTCTGGCGGCTCGTTCCTTACCGGAGTGCTGCAGAAGAAGAGGAGAAAGAAGAACCAGGGCTATGCCAGGAGGTTCTTCTCCTTGGACTTTACATCGTCTACCCTCTCCTACTACCGAAACGACCATTCCTCGGCATTACGTGGAGCCATACCTTTGTCGTTAGCAGCTGTTGGGGCCAACGAGGACACGCGAGAGATATCCGTCGACTCTGGCGCCGAGATCTGGCAACTACGGGCAAACAACGCGAAAGATTTTCAGATGTGGAAGAATGCACTTGATCGCGCATCAAGATCAGCGTCGGATAGGGGTAACATGGCCTCGCCAACACTACAAATCAAAGACAGTCCATTCCAAAGCCTTGGGCATGTCATGAATGCGGCCGAAGAGAACGAATGGGCAAGGGTCGAAGCCTTGGTCGGCAGAGTTTCTGGTACAAGAGACGCGGTCCGACGGCTGGCTCAGGATACCGATCCCAAGTATGGTGCATCGTCAGCGATAAGCGTTGGCAAGGTCAATGATAGTCTTTCTCCAACACCCTCCGAAGCTGAATCAGGCGACTACTTCCCAGAGCAAAAAGCTCCTGAGAAGATGGCTTTTTGGAAACGCAAGCCGAGCAGTTCTGGCCTTCAGAGTCCGTCTGGTGGTATTTTCAAGAGGAGTGTGTCCGCGCAAGTGGGTGCCGCATCACCTGGGGCCGTTCCTCCTGTACCACCTCTTCCCTCAAATGCGTCGATAAATGGCAGTCTTGCAGTGCCCAAGCGCAATGGTCGTGCAAGCACAATGAGCTACTCAAGCTACACGAGTCATACACACGAGGAAAGCGTTCACGACAACTGCATGGCTTTACTCAAAGATCTGGACTCTGTCGTCAAGGACTTCTCTGAACTGATCAGCGAAAGCAAACAACGACGGATGCCTCCACCTGCACCTCTCTCGGCCGTGGAATCTCGTCATAGCTTTGAATCAGTAGCCGAATCCGTTGATGAGTTCTTCGATGCACCGGATGGCGACGCCAACAGGTCACAGCTCCTTACCATCCGCCGCGACAGCGAAGAGGATAGGCGCGAACGCGAACAATCGCCGGATGCCGACTCGGATGGTGAATCAGAGTCGTCATCAGAAAATGGCAGTGTTGGCATGATGGATCGACCTCGCATGTCACGTGAAACTACTCCAGCGCTTTTCCCTACACGACCCAAGTCACTGACACCACTGCCGCTTGAACCCGTGAAGCGCCGCGGTACGGTCCCAGCTCCAAAGGTACAGCCTCCAAGTCTTATCGCGTTCTTCAGGAAGAATGTCGGCAAAGATTTGTCAACTATCGCGATGCCGGTATCAGCTAACGAGCCTACATCTGCACTGCAACGACTGGCAGAGCAGCTGGAGTACAGCGAGCTGCTCGACGCTGCGGTGACTGCCACGCCAGATAACGGTGAGCGCCTCGTCTACATGGCCGCATTCGCCATATCAGCATTTAGCAACGCTCGTGTCAAGGATCGTGCTATTCGTAAGCCGTTCAATCCCATGCTCGGCGAGACCTACGAACTTGTCCGCGAAGACAAGGGTTTCCGTTTCTTCGCAGAGAAGGTTGTCCACCGTCCCGTCCGTATGGCATGTCAAGCTGAAGCTGCAGAGTGGACGTTTGTGCAATCGCCAACACCGATGCAAAAGTTTTGGGGCAAGAGTGCAGAGATCAACACCGAAGGTCGTGTGCGTATCTTCCTCCACGGTTCAGGCGAACACTACTCCTGGACTCTCGCAACCTCGTACCTTCGTAACGTCATCGCCGGTGAAAAGTATCTCGAACCCTCCGGCACTATGACCATCATCTCAGAGACCACGGGCGCAAAAGCCATCTGCACCTTCAAAGCCGGTGGCATGTTTGCCGGCCGCTCAGAAGAAGTTTCCGTCCAAGTTTTCGACGCCACCGGCTCCGTCCTGCCCATGGGCGCAACAGGAAAATGGACGACCGACCTCCAACTCACATCCAACGGCCAGCCCACCGGCAAGACAATCTGGAAAGTAGGTGACCTCGTCGACAAGGCTGAGAAGCACTACGGTCTGACCACTTTCGCTGCTGCCCTCAACCAAGTCACGGCCATCGAACAAGACCACATGGCCCCCACGGATTCCCGCCTCCGACCCGATCAGCGCGCGCTCGAAGACGGCGATGTGGACAAAGCTGAAGCACTGAAAGCGCGACTTGAGGAGAGACAGCGCAGTCGAAGAAGGGTCATGGAAGAACATGGTGACGAATGGAAACCACGCTGGTTTACCAAGGTCGGAGCTGTGGAAGCTGCGGCGTTGGGTGACGAAGAAGTTTGGAGACTCAAGGGTGGGAAGGATGGGTACTGGGAGTGTAGGGAACGCGGTGACTGGGGTAATGTCCAGGAAGTTTTTGAGACTTAGTGTAGAGTGTTGTTTTTTAGCGACATTTTTTTGGTGTTAGATAGTAAGCGACGTTGACCATATCACGCAGACAGCGCGATTGAGAGAATCCCTGTTGTTGGAATTGATGACGGGCTTTTTGCATCAAAGTTATGTGATGAAGATTATGTGACAAATAGCGTCTGACACGACATGGTACAAAGCGTACAGGATGGTATCAAAACATAATCCTTGGTATATAATACTATGGCAAGAATGGAAGCCGAATGCGGCAGAAAGACCTCATACCCTTATAGATAGCCATGAGTCTAAGGCACCGAAAAACACCGCGCAATGCTAATACCCAAAAGTTGAGAGACTTTTATCTAAGGGTCTACACGGAAAACTGAATCAAAAGAGAAGCTAAGAATCGATACCAAGCCAGGCCAGATCAAGTTGCTTGGTGGCCTGCTCAAATCTCAATATCCATGCCAATGTCCATGTTAGCAATGATATCGTCATCCATCTTGGGTTTTCTGAATGTCGGTAGTCCTTTCCGCTCGGTCTTCTTCTTGCCTTGCTGTGGTTGTTGTGGGTTCGGTGTGCTTGCTCGGCTTGAAGCGTCGCCGTCAAACAGCGCATCGACGTCCAGGTTGTTGTTCTTCCTGGCCGCCTCCTCCTCTTGTGCCTTCCTGGCCTCTTCTTCTGCTTTCCGTCGGGCCATCTCCTTCTTCTGCTCCATCTTTTTCTGACGCTGTTGGTCAAGTTGTGCTTTGCGGACACGCTCAGCTTCTAGGATGCGGTTCTTGCGGTTCAACTCGGCGATACGTGCGGCCGCTGTTTCTGACTGTGTCGCAATCTTGGGCTGGGCATCTGAGCTGGAGCGGTTAAGGAGATGTGCGTACTTCTTCGACTTGGCGATACGTGCGCTGATGTCGGCATCAGTCCAATGGTGGTTCTGCAGGGCCTTGAGATCGTCGTATTTCCTTTGAAGGTATGACTGTGTGGGGACCTTGGCGTTGGCCTCTATAAGAGATTGGCGGTATGCGTCGAGGTCGCTCTCGCTGAAGCGCTGGTTCGACAAGAATTGGAACTGGTAGTCCTTCTTCACGGAGCCGTGTTGGGCGATGACGTATTGGTCCGTCGCGACGCGCTTGCCGTCTTTTCCTTCGAAAACGTAGGGTTTGCCAGCTGAGAAACCTAAAGATAACATGTTAGCATGATGCGCGATGTTGGTGTTGTTCTCCTTACCCTTGATTTGCGCCATCTTGTACAGGGTCCTGCGTTGAGCATCCTGGCCCACACCAACACGTCCAAATGCGCCAGTCATGGCCTCTTCGAAACCTGGGTGGAAACAGACTTCTGAGAAGAATCCTCGACCAACACGAACGGACTCGAAATCGCGTAGGGTGGCAGGCACCTCTTCGCGGGCCTTCTCTGGCACGCGGTCGTCCCACTCGACGTCGCTCTCACCATCAGCATCGACGTCTGAGCCACCGTCTCGGTCGGCAGAGCTGGACCGCCTGCGGCCACTGCGTCGGTCGTCGTTCCGTTGCCGCTGCTGACCGCGCTGCTCACGCTCGCGCTTGTATGCCTCGAGCTTCTCGTTCTTCCGCGGCTGTACCTTGGGGCGACTGCTCTTACGCTCGTCGGCGTCTTCGGAACTAGCCTTGCGCTTCCGGTCGTTCTGGACGTTTGCTGCGCGCCTGGCGAGCTCGGCCTTGAAGTTGGCGCTGCTCATCTCCTCGGCACGTTGACCCAGAATCTCTTCACGGTCCAGTTGTGACAAGCCCAGGATGTGGCGCTTGTCTGCCTCGTCGATGTACTTGCCCTCTAGGGGGTAGGGAACATCTGCAGCGCGCTCTGGTACGTCATCGTCGCGGTCTGAATCCGACTCGTCCATGGCGTCGGATCCTAGCGAGTTTGGCGATGAGGCGGCGGGCGACGAGCTACGTGGAGTCAGCGCCATGGTGCGGCAAGGGGTTGAGGTGGTCGGTGGAGAGTTGGGTGGAGGGCTCAGAGCATTGGAAGCGATGGAAAGTCGCGACGCAGAGGCAGTGGAGGAGGGTGACAAGTGAGAGAGGGTACTCACGCCTCGCCTTCTTCGACGTCTGCATCTTCGTCACCGCCAGCGAGGGCGAAGAGCTCATCGTCGATATCTGACATTGTGAAGGCGGCTCGCGAGGATTTCGCGGTAAAGTCTGGGTCGTAAAGGCGATGGTGGAGGCGAAAACGATGTCGCTGGGGGGACTGCGAGCGGATTCGGGCGTGGTTAGGGGGAAAGAGGATGAAAGAAGAACGTGGGAAGTCCAAAGGTCGGGGAAACGCTCGTTGCGCTTGGGCCATGCCGCGTTGAAAAGTGGGCCTGGTTAGCGTGCATGCAGTGAGCGCATCATACCTCAGCAGACGATTGTTGCGCCTGCTCGGCCCAGGAACAATCGCATTTTGCTTTCACTTTTATTGTACAATAGCTAGGCGTCCAACATGTCTTCCGTCCTGCTTTCACCGCGGGCCGTATCTCACAGTGCAGTCCGCCGCGGGCTCCAATACCCTGTGCTCGAATTCCTCGCCCCAAGTACCACAAGCCGTGCACCACGCCAAACGTCACGCCTCTCCAGTACCGTATCAGCACCACAACCACCACCTCCTCCACAGTCTGAATCTCCGCAATCACGGCCCTCGTTGCAAACACAGAAAAATGGCAAGCCAATACGGCCGCTCACGCAAGAGCAGCAAGAGTTCCTTTCCTCTGCGTTGAGAGTGAACCAGACGGGTGAACTCGCCGCCATCCTGATATACGCTGCCCAATCGCCCGTCATCACACGGTCACACCCGCACTTGCGACCACTTATGAAGCACATGTACGACCAGGAGGCAGGCCACTACAAGTTCTTCAATGAGGTCATCTCCAAGCACCGCATACGGCCCACTGCAATGACACCAATATGGACCGCTGCGGCCACCATGCTTGGCTGGTCGACTGCTGTCATGGGTCGTGAGGCAGCCATGGCCTGTACCGAGGCTGTCGAGACAGAGATTGGTACCCACTACAACGAGCAGGTGCGAGTGCTGCTGGACTGGGCAAACAAGTGCGAGGCGCGGGGCGAAAGTCTGGGCCCCGAGCTGGACAAGTTGGTAGTTGAGCTAAGGAGGATACGAGATGAGGAGCTGGAGCACTTGGATCATGCGGTAGAGAATGATGCCAAGGAAGCGAAGCCATACGACTTGCTTACTGAAGTTATAAGAGGAGGCTGTAGAGGGGCCATCTGGGTGAGTGAACGTGTGTAGTGTGATGAATGAGATGTAACATGTAAATACTGTAACATATGGGACACAAGCATGGGTATTGAATCGAGGGTCGCACGTCGACCTCATTATCAAGTACCCTCTTTTACTAGGATCAAGCGGGTATTGATGTTCCTTGTCTTTCTGCGCAGAAATTCGTTGTATCAAGCAGTAAGAGCAGAAAGGACTAAGAATTGAAAAAAAAGCATAAGTAGAAACTATAACGTAGTAGTGCCTATGTGCAGCACGTAATTAAATTGACGCCAACACCATGTGAGTATATGCTACCAGTTGTCCAAGACCCAAAACGTTAAGCGTGCATCACTCAAACCCACCGCTAAGATCGCTGAGTACACTCCTCATACCCTGTTTCCTTCCACCTTCCACCTTCTTCCGGAGTGCTTCCTTCCTCTTTCCCTCCTTCTTCTCCAGCAACGCTCTTCGCTCTGCCTCTCGTGCCTGAGCGTGAATGTTACTCCTTCCAGTACCACCTCTCCGCACAGCACTCTCTTTCGGAGTACTGTTGCTTGCTGACCGTTCGCTGCTGACAGATAGATTACTAGTCGCCTGACGTATGAGCGAAGGAACGCGGAATCCTGGCGTTGCAGCAGAGCGAGTTGGAGCATGGAAGGCTACATTGGAGTCTCCGCCTACAGATTCGTCGACTGTAGATTGCCGACTCAGGGTCAGACGGTCGATGATGGGTTTCCGCGACGCTGGGACAAAGGCAGCTTCTTGGTCATCTTCGGCGTCGGAGAGCTGCGAGTCTGGTATCACGATGCGTGGGTCTTCAATGAGCTCCGAGATAGAGTCTCTGACATCATCCGCAGTCAGAGGCTTGCGGGCGAGGCTGTCGGATGCGGCTGTGCGGCGCATGTGCGGAGGTGGTCGGTTCTCCTTTTGCGAGTCTTGAGACTTGCGCTTAAGTGGACTGTTTGGCGTTGACAGGTTTTGAGACTGGGCCTGTGAATCTGGAATGGCTATGTCGTCACTTTGGACATTCTCTTGAGACTGCGAGTCGTTCGTGTCCAACTCTTTCTCGGGCATGTTGAGGTAGTCGTACTCGCCCTCGTCGGCAAAATCAGCTAGTGTGTTGAAGAATGCCTTCTTCTTGTCGTCGTCAGCGAGTGCCTTGACTTTCTGGTCTTGCAACAAGGCGTGAGTCTGCTTTTGGAATGCAGCGCGCTTCTTTCGCTGGCGCAACTCGGCCTCGTCTTCGGAATCGGACATGTCGATACCATCGTAGCCGCCAGCCCTGCGCAGACCGCCCTTCCTCTGCATCTTCTTGTAGAGCTCGGCAAGTTGCTTCTCGTCGTCCTTCTTCGTCTTGTCACTGATCTATGTTAGTATCATCAATGTATATGTGAAGATGGAAGCTGAACGTACGCGTAGAAAGCGGCAATCTGGCGCTCGTCAACCTTGACATCGTTGTGGTCGATCATGTCCTTGAGGTCTTCGTCTTCCTCGCCCTCTTCATCGTCACTGGCTCCTCCAAGTCCAGCATACTCATCTTCAGACTCCTCGGCTTGCTCCATGACAGCCTCCCTTGCCATGCTCTTCTTCTTATTGAACTCTTCGACCGCCTTCGCCTTCTTGGCTTCTTGCTGCATCTTCCTGAAAGCATTCTTGCTATGCTTAGGAGGGCGTTGGATGTCGTCCTCGCTCTCTTCCTCAGCATCGACTAGGTCGTCTTCAACGTCAGAGAGCTCAACAGCTGCCCCTCGTCGTCCACGCTGGAGCTTGCCCTTTTGCTTGATCGGTGATTCAGCAACGGGCATCATGACGGTATCGACTGTGGATGGGGGCAGGACAAGGCCTGCTGGCGACCGAGAGAAGGAGAAGCCTGCATCCTGGGTAGGCTCGAAGTCCTCGACCTGCGTTCGCGAAAACTGTGGGGAGGTATTGACTACTTGGCCTATTCCCATGCTGAACTGAGACTCATCACCAGCCTGTGCATTCTTTTGTGGAGACACCAGAGACTGACTGTTGGGAACCAGGAATTCTGAAGCTTGGCTAAAGTTTGCGCCAGGTTGAGTATCAGGCAGGTTCCTTAGGAAGTCCAAAGAATCTTGCTCAGTGTTAACGGCGGTAGCAGGCTGTGAGTCGGACTCCAACTCGGCCATAGTGCCTGCAAACATCTGTGTGAGCCCTATTCCAGCGTTGGCGTTGCCAAAACCAAAAGCGGCCATTGCGTCGTTTTGAGTTGCTGGTTGAGTGGGCGTGGCAGGCCTAGGCACCCCAGCATCGCCATCTTCATCGTCTTCATCGATGACTCGATTGCGAGCACGATTCACCATTTGTCTGCGGACTGGCGCAACCGCGTCGTCGTCATCCATATCGGCATCGGTATCGTCTTGTTGAGCTTGTACCTTCTCCGCTGGCTCATCGTCTTCGTCAGCCATTCCATCGATGAGAGGATCCGCGTCATCTGGGTTGCTTGCTTCGTCTTCGCCATCGTCTTCGATTTGCTCATCTTCGGAGCCCGAGAGAACGAGTTCAGCATCTTCCTGGTCATCGTTCTCCCCCGGGTTGGCATCTTCCTCATCACTACCAACGTAGTCGCCGTCGTCCTCGTCGCTGGATGGGAGATCATCAATGGTCTCGCCGTTTTTCTTCGCCTCCTTTCTCTCCATCTTGGCTAGCTCAAGGTCCTCTTGCCTTTGCTTCTCAAGCATTGCCACCATGTCGTCGATTTCTTCCTGGCGCTTCTCCCTCTCCTCTTCGGTCTCGGGGTTATGGCCTCGCCTGATCAGGTCGGCTATCCTCTCTTCTTTGGCTTTTGCCGTTTGCTGGCGAGCCTTCTGGGCCAGCGAAAACTCCATCTCAAGACGAGTCACTATCTTCTGTCCCTTCTTGCTCTTCGGTGGTGATTTCACCAATTGAGCAAGAGCACGAAGATGTACTAGCGATCCGGCCTCGTGGTCCTTCTTCGTAGGTAACCGATCAAAGACAGGGAATCTACTCTTAGGCTTCTCTACCTGTAGATCGTCATCCGAATCAGAGAGCTCCACCATGTCGTTGTCCGCAGCCTTGTGAATATCTACCACAGCTTTGCCCACAGTCACTGGCTCGGTCTGTTTCATCCAAGGATGCACTGGCAGATGTTGAAACTCAGGTGCTCGCCCTTTACCCTTGTCGAGCTTGACGGACTCGGGTGATTGTGCTTTGTCGTCTGCCGCTGTAATAGAAGTTTGTTGATCTAATGGAATATCCTTCTCGTCCGGAGCATTTTGTCTGGGCGGACTTGTTGGCGGCGTGTCATGTATCTGGTTCGCCTCTGCGTCAGAGGATGCCAATGCTGAGCTGGGTTCTGGTGTGGGGAGGGTTACCACTTCGGCGCCAGGCGCTTGATAGTTGAACTTCTTGAACAGATCCTGTGTCGTGAAGCGCTTCTTCGTTTTGGCTTGGTGGGTAAGCTGCATGTTACGGCTTATGCGCTGCTGGTCCCGCGCCATCGCCTCCATAGCCTTTTTGCCAGCCCTGCGAGTTGGCTTAGCATGTTGTGTGAGCCGCCTACCCCCCTCGCCATCTGACTCGGTGCCTGAACCCTGATCCGCTGGCCGCCGTGCAATCTTCTTGGGCTTGGTTTGTTGTGCTTCCTCCTCCTGTTGCTTCGCCAGTCTTTCCTCTCGAATCCGTCGCACTCGCTCTTGCAGATCGGCATTGTGCAGGGGATGTGAAGATTCGTCTGACTCTGAACCAGCATTCGGTGATCGTCGCGATGGCTTCTTCGCTGGTGACGGGTCTGGCGTGACAAAGAGCCCCGGCGATGATCGTCGTGATCGTACGGTTGGTGATGCAGACGCTTGAAGGCTTGCTGTCTTCGTCCGGGTTGTGGCTGGTTTGCGGATGTTCGCTCGTACAGGCATCGCGTCCTCATCTTCGCTACTTTCAATTGTAGCAAGAATTGGCGTTTCCTGTTGTGCTTCTTGTGGAGCTGCCGATTTTAATGATGAGGAGTTCTTATTGGCAGCTAGTCGTTTCTTCATAAGTTCGTATGCGTCTTCCCCATCGCTCTCTTCTTCCTCATTAGTCTGCTCGATATCCGGTCGAGGGCGTGCTGTTGTGACTGGCTTTGCGCTGATTGTGGGCGTCGCATCGTCTTCAGATGCGGACACTTCATTGTCAGATTCGGCTTCGCTCTCTGAAGAATCCACGGCAGGTTTGCGTAGAGCTGCTAGCAGCTTTGGTCGAGGCTTTGCCGACGCGTCTGTCGCGCGTGCTGGCGAGGTTTGTGCTGATGTCATGGCTAATGATGACAGGACTGGATGGGATCTATATCGATACGAGCCCTGGTTTGCCGTTCGCGAATATGGCGTCTCGATACGTGGTGGTTGCTTTCTGCAGAGGTCGCGTAAGGTCTTCGTTGACGTTACTCGGGAGAAGATCTAGATTCCGGTGTATGGGATCGTGTTAAGCGCGTATTGCAAAAAATGACAATGTACGTAGAAAGACAGGACTAGTTGTGCAAGGCTGCATACGTTCAATTGCAAATACACATGGCGGGGAACTGTCGTTGTTGGAGCAAGCTTGGACTACGCGTGATTCTCGAAGTCGCGACACGCGACGCGACTGGCGCTTGCCACATGTGGCTCGTAAGTGCCGCCATTCCTTTTTCGCGCTCTACCACCCCATCAACATTACGAGACCGCCGACAACGCATCGTCTACAACCAACGTCGCAGCTGGCGATGTCTACCGGAATATCGACAATACATACTTTGCTGCAGAACCTTCATTTTCTTTGTCCGAGTGTACCCACCACTCCCAAGGTCCGCTAACACTCAGCCGAAAACCTCTCCCGAGGTCTACTTCGGCCACCACCAGACATGACACAGAGCTATTCGTCGTCGCGTGTGTTGTGCGAGCGAGCTACATGGGATGCATGCATCCATAGCCCGCAAGAGATTGAATGCCTTGGTTTACCATTCCAGATCCCGACACATCTGTTTATCCATTTACCCTAGATTTCGATCGCTCCCGACACCTTCCAATCATCGTGGTGCGCCTCCGAGCAAAAGATGAACGGAACGGCCGTGTCGCGGACTAATTGGGTAATTTGTTCGCAAGCGTCCACCAGGTGCGTCGTTACGAGTGCCTCAGCCTTACGCCTCGTTTCTTAACTAGCAGGCGTCTGGACCCGCTGCAGGATACACTCCGCCACACAACTCAACATCAGCATGAATGCACACTTCCATGCAATCTCTCCATCCCGTCGCTGAAGGTTCGAGTTGGCCTGCGCAAGATGGAGGCCTGATCACGTTTCATGGGATCTGAATCGTCTTCGCTTACAACAACCTCTACGCGTGAATCAGAAGTGTTGGTGACCCCACCTGTTGCTAGCCTTTTGCTTTTTGAACTTGATGCATGGGAAAGTCACGGAGTGTAGGAGCTGCTTCGCATGAACTCGTGCACTGCCTGGATGGATACCTTGGGCACGCACCACGACGACCACACGCAGCGGCGCCGCAGAACACCCGCTTGGTCAGCTCATCTTCACGATGATCATACATCATCACACTGGTGGTCAGTCCTCTTTACAGCGGGCGCGTTTCGACTTATGCAAGTTGGTGGTCATAGCAGAAGAGCAAGTTGACGTTTTACAGACGTCTTACCTGTTGCGATCGGACCATCGCGTTCCGCCAAAAATAGCACCCGTTCTTCGTCGGTAACGTACCCCAGAAATACCGTTGCCAGCCAAGCAGATCTTGCAAGGGCCGCTTTCACCTTGACTGCTCGCGACCACGCTGGAGCGATCATTCGACGTTATGCGGGATCTGCAGAACTCCTTGCCTTATCTCGCGTCTCAAAGATGACGACAGATGTGAGGAACAAGCGCCCAACACGCTACTACGCGTACTATGTAGTGGCGCGATTGGTGGCTTTTGCCGAAACGAACACGATGTGCTGCAGCAATTGAGCTATTGACGCAACCATCAACAAAGCACCTCTTGTTACTCACGGAACTGGTTGCGAAACGCTTCTGGACTTGTTTTCTAGTGTGGAGTTGTAGGACGCGCTCCGAAAGCCACGCTCCTTTTTTGCAACACCATCCCCAGAGCCGCATTCTTCGCAGGAACAAATGCTGAGACGAATTTCGGGCCAATGACCGAGTGCGTTCTTCTCTTACAACGCGATGGATCGTAGATGGTGGGGTGAGGAGTTGGGCTTAGGTCACGGCTGATGCAAGCGACGGCTCCAGATACCTTTTACGCGTTCGACAGCAAGGTGGAGCGGTACGACAGCTTTCAGATGGCGAGCAGATGCGCGTTTCATGTGGTCTGCTAAATTACCCCTGAGAATGCGGCCCTAGGGTGGTAGCGCTGGGGTCCCTGCAGCGCCGTCGCGGCGATCTCCCTTAGAGCATCGCGACGCTTGACGCGCTCACAAATTCAGATCGCAATAGGAGAGTGAGATCACCGAGGGCATTATTGACGACTAGAGGGAGTCGTTGCATAGTGGGAAACTTTCCGTGCCATAGTTGCATGTTCTAGTACCGGAAGGGTGTGGCTTAGTGACCAGGCATGCGTGCCTGGGTGCCTGCATGCCAAGGCAGTCTCTTAGTGCCTTCTTGAAACCCGTGAAACAGACCACGGGTGCTGCTCTTCTAAACAAGAGCCGTCCGTCTCCGCCCGGGAAATTGGACGATCAATGTCTTCCTGACGGCCTAAGAATTGAGCTTATACCCATCCGTATACCTTTGTCGAAAGCTTCTCGAACGCTTCCATTTCGCGCGCACTCGCCTCCCTTTCATAGTCACCTCTGCTCTTCCCGCCCAACACGGCCCGTGAACCACCAATTTCCGGCATGATACTGCCTTCTACACACACATAGGATAACATGGAGGCCGACGAGGCTCAACTTTACGGATTCCAGACTCCTCAGCAGAGCAACTCCTTCAAGCGACCCCGTCGCAGTCTACAAAGCACCACTCCCTTGAGCAGCGTGACCGAGAGCGTTACTTCCTCCCCTCGACACTCTGGCCAGAACCAGTTTGCACCTCAGCTCTTTGACCACGTCAATGCGCTGAAGCACCTTGACGACCAGCAAATCCTCCAGCTACTATCTGTTGCGCGCAATGGAGGTCAGTCGAATAACAGCCCTGGCGGCGCGTTATTTGCTCACGCGTATCCAGATGGCATGCGTCGTTCGGCCGCAGACAGGTCGTCTATGTCGACTGTCGGAAGCCGCGCGTCCTCATACTTGAGCGTTCCCTCCAGCAGAGTGCCCAGTATGATGTCCGACCCGCGCTCGTCCATCGCATCTACCGACTCCTCTTTCACACACTACAGCGCTGCATCCTCACGCCTTTCTACCGCATCTTCAAACCGACTTTCTACAATATCCACCGCATCGACACCTGCGCCCAAGAACTTTGCCTGCACATTCTGCGACAAGGCGCTCAAGTCGAAGCCGTACTGGAAGTCGCACGAAGAAGAGTTTCACGAGCAGCGACTCACATGGCGATGTCCCGACTGCGAACAGATCTTCCATGCTGGCAAGCGCTTCCGTGAGCATCATACCAAGTTACATGTAAGTCTAGTGTCCTTTCTTTTTCCCGCGTTCCCGCTAACCGTTGACAGGGCTGTGAGCACTGCAAGCAACCTAGGGAGAGCGGACAACCCACTAGCAGGAAAGCATCGCCATGCGTCAAGAAGTACGAGATCGTCATGCACGACAAGGACGCGTGGGGTTGTGGCTTCTGTGCTTCTCTTTTGACCACTTGGGAGGAACGATGCGAGCACATTGCGCTTCATTTTGAAGAGAAGGGTGCATCCAAGTGGAACTTCACGAATGTTGTCCTTGGTCTCTTGAAGCAACCGGAAGTCGCCAACGCGTGGAACCAGATGATGCTCGATCGTCATGGAGACGAACAGAACTGGCCGTCGCTGTCATGGGAGTCTAAGAAGTGCAACCGTTTACGGTACAAGCTCGAAACTAAGTGGGACACCCGCTCCTACGATATCGAGAAGCTGGTGCAGGACACTTATGACTTGGCGGAGATCGAGGTCAAGGACGTTGTCGAACCCACAACGGAGGTCACCCCCGAAGCCACAGAGTCTGTCGACAACAGTCAAGGCGAGATGGTGGAGTTCAAGCTAGAAGCGTCTGACTTCGGCACTGACAACAGGCTCCACAGCTCCCACGGGCTACCGTCCGACCATATGATGATGGATATCGATGCAGTGGAGCCTCCGCAGCCGATGCATCACCAGGACATGCAGCCATCTCAATGGCCTGTCAGCACCGATATGTCTCATTCCATGAGTGCGGCTACTTCGATGGGCGGTTTCGACGCTTTCGGTACCACCATGACTTCGATGCCAACGGATTTCTCGCAACCCATGGCGCAGAGCTTCCAGCCACAGCAACAAAACTGGTCAAATGCCGGCTTTGCATCGACGCCTGACCTACTGAACTACCAACAACCAGCGCAGTACATGGACTACCAGCAGCCCAAAGAGATCGTCTCTGTACCCACGTCGCAGTACGCCAACTTCGCGCACTACCCTCGCCAGAGTCTCCCGCCCAATTTCCTGCAGCAGCAACAGCAACAACAGTCACCTAGCACCCCGACTTCGCGTCGATACGTTCCCAAACTAATTAACATCTCGAACAATTCGAGCCACCGTGGCGTGCAATTGGAACAAGCGCCACCCCCACCTCCTAAAGACGAACACCAGAACCGCTTCTCCCGGCTCATCATGAGACGACGACCCAGCAACATTTCCCAACATAGCATGGTCTCGCACCGTGACATGGGCGGCACATGGGGCGATGTCGACAACTGGGGGTGAATTTGATTCGGTGTCTCACTCTTACCGCGCATTTTCCGCGCATAATAACACACAATCTCCTGCACCCGGCCGGCCCGGTTCTCGCACGGCACTCTCCTTAGAAAGAAACAAACAAACCATAAAGCACCGCAAAAGGTGACTCCGAACCTCGCTGTTCATCTCTGGGTCCTGGCGTCACTATCCGCCCTGCACCCCTAGATGAAGCGAGCTACACGTCACCGCAACGGAGATCGAAATTATTCATCTGCAGCTTCTCAGCTCTTTCTCCTTGTTCTTTTTTTCCTTACGTATACACACACATGTTTTTCCAGCGGGATGGGATGAGGATATACCCATATATGCAGCGATTGCTTTTCATCTTGTTGTCATCGCCGCAACGTAGTTTAGTGTCTTGTTGAGTGTCCACTTTTGGTTGCAGCACCTAATACCCCCCTTTTCATGTTAACCTTTCGATGCCGACGCGATTGATGTAATGATGGGGATTGGAATGAAATTTGGACTTGGAAGGGCAGATACCATATAGAGTAACTTCAATGTGTTTCTTAACTCTGCACACAAACTTGTCTGCTTTCTGCTATGGTGATGGTCTTGTTTGTTGGTGATATTGCTTCAGAAACATGATATTATTATCTTTGGCATCAAGGTTAACGTGTTCATCATATTCCGCAGGCCGGATGGTGCCATGTCTAGATGCCTCCACGCCACCCATGGTAATCCCATCACTAACTCACTTGCGTACCGCGCCTGTCATCCTATCACGTCCCGTTTCCAAATCTTTGTTTCCCCCCGATGTCGGCCCATAAAGGCAGCATACCCAATTTTTCTTTTTCTACCCTTTTCTTCATGTATGTTTTGGATGTGTGGATTGAAACATGCATATGAGCACGTCTCGAAGCCACCTTCCTTTTTTGTTTGCCCTCTCAGGCAGCAGTACCTTTTGTTTCGTTTCATTTGCATCGTGATGGGATTTGAAAGTGCGTACAATGTTACGGCTCAATGGGTGTGTTGTTGTTCGGTCAGGGTATACTCGATTCAAACGTGCATGTGATGCTCCGTCTCACCATGTGTGTGTGATCTTTCATCGTGGTCTGGAAGGCTGTCGGATGTGATCGCAGCGATCCAAGATGGGCATATGATGCTCCATCTTGTTACATGATATGTCGTGAATGTTGTAAGTCGTATGTCGTGAGGTGTGGGGTGTACGTTATGAGTGGTATGGAATGTGTTGTACACAGGTTATCAAGATCGTGACTTGCTCAAAACCTGACATCGAACTTGCGAACTGCCTTGTACCAGCTATCATATGTGATAAAACCCTCGCGCTCACCATGGGCCTTCACCAGCTCATACATGGGTGATGACTCGGGTACGGCGCTCAGAAAGTGGCGTAGAGCCGACCCGTACTCGTTAAATATCCCATGATATTTTTCGAGAATTTCAGACGGCGTAGCGGTGATCTCTTCATCATCGAACTCGTCCGGCTGCTCAGCGGAATTCAAGGCCAACTCCATGTCAAAGAGAGCCGTCCCCAGGCTTGCGATGGTCTTGATGGACTGCAAGTTGCCGTGCTGTGCAAAAACCTTGTCGAAGTCCAACCACATGTAGTGGCGGAAGAGCCATTTGGAAAGCCCATCATTGGCGTATTGGATAGCTGCATCCTTGACAGTGGCGTTAAGAAGTTCATACAGTTCGTCATCGTTACGGCCGATAGCATTCTCGAAGTTGATCAAGTCAATCAGCATATCGACGTGCTGCTCGCGCTTCGGTGCAGGTGTCCCGTACAGTGCCAGTACCTTGTCAATCTGAGCTTCGAAGTCCTTGCGCTGCGCCTTTCCGACCTTGAAGACGCGTAGAGTCTTGCGCTTCAGCTCATCGAAGACAATGACTGCCTCCTTCGCAGGAAAAGCCTTGTTGAGGATTGCGATGATTCGGCTCACAGACTTGCGCTTCGGTCCAGCGACCTTGTCGGCCTTGGAAACGACTCTGTCGTTAGAGTCGGAGGGAGACACAACAATTGTAGACTTCACAGGCTCTTTCTGCTTCGTGGCTGACGCGATAGGGGTCTTCGTCTTTGCCAGCCTTGCTTTGGCCTCTTTCTCCATACGATCAAGCTTCGCTTGCATCTTGCCGAAAACCTTGTCAACCTCTCCCGATCTGGCGATGAAGGCTTTCTCTGTGGCCGCTTGCCTTGAGATGTCTGCTTCAAGCTTAGCTTGAAGTGCCTCCACTGCTTCCTCGCGCTTGGAGAGGGAAGCAACACGCTCATCGAGTTCCTTCTGCTTGTCGGCCATTGCCTTCGTAGAAAGATTGATCTTCTCGAGGCTCGCAATTCGTTGAAGGACCTCGTCGTGCGACTGCTTCTGCCTGATCTCAGCGTCGGCCCTCTTGGCTTCGGCCTCGATTCTCGCAGTCCTCTCCTCCTGCAGGAGCCTCAAGATCCTCTCCAGCTTGCCGTCGTTAGTGGATGATACCGCTGGATCAATCTTTTCTGGAGTAGACTTCGGGGAGGACACAGGTGACGACAAGCTGAGCTGGACAGGAGAGTCGTCCCTGGTTGTGGGGCTAGGAGACGATGAAGACGCAGACGAACTTCCGGTCGAGGTCTTCTCTGTGGGCTTGGCAGATACGTTGAACGAGAAAGACTTGTCTGTGGTCTTCGCTCCAGCATCGGAGTTGCCAAAGATGACCGTCAGTGGTGGTCGGCCAGTAGAGACGTGAGGTGTAGTGCCCTTTGGGTAGGCGGTGCATTCGCGCAGCCAATTCGAGAAACCTTGCCATCCAGTCGGAAGGTCATCGCGGATTTCCTCAATTCTGGCAATGAGAGATGACATCGTCTGAAGATATCCTTCTAGATCCGTCTTCATCCTGGCGCATACAGGGGTTTCAATGTTCCTGACATAATCGCGAATAGTTGAGTCTGGAAGTTTAAGTGTCGGCTCAGGACAGTCATCGGAAATCTTGTCGCGACACTCGGTGAGTAGATGTAGAATCGTAGCTCCGTGCTTCTTGCGCTCGCCTGGAGGAATGGCGCTCATGATGCTTCTTGATATGGGGGTTGACTGTATGATATTGTCAGTTGAAAGTTCTATGTTGGGTGTGCAAGGTTTTGATAATAAAGACAAGCCGTTTTACTATATGATTTTGCGGGACAACGCGGGGCTAATGACGTCGAGATGAAAGGGGTAACATACCTCTTAACGCTGGGTCGTTGCGCTGCACAAGTGGTGGGCGTCGGATGTTGGTGCGGAAGGTCTAGGGTCTTGCAAGATTGAAAAATTATGTGAGACTGATCAACGGTGGTTGATACTGTGGGAGCAAGAAAGTGTTGTTGCTAGGCGTGTAGAGGTTAGAGTGCGAAAAAGATGAGAGTTTACGCGTAGGCCTGGTCATTGAAATGCAAACAGATGTGAAGGCTAGCGCGATGTATAGCGCCCAGGCTGTGCAATACAATACAGCAGAAAAGGATCAATCAGGTGACGGAGCAGGTGACGGTGACGGTGACGGTGATTGTGATTAGCTCAGTAGGCGTTTCGCAGAGAACCTTTCACTGCGCTCCATGAAAACCCAGAGCCATCTTATAAGCTTCCTTCTCTTCCAACTACAAAATGGGAGTGCGAATACAACAATGCTGCCATGTGTCACTCAAGATATACCTCCTGAAGTATGCTGACTCCTAAAGCAATCACTCCCTGCCAAGGTTATAGCTTGTTAGGTACAAGCCATTGCGACAAACTCATGTCGTTCCATAGATAAACGCCCAAGCTCATCATAAGCCTTTCCTGCTGTTGACAGGCTCCGACGCTGATATAGATTGCAACCCTCCCAGTGCTGCAAATATGGTTGCTGATATGTCATTTGTTCGAGCCTTTTGGAGGAACATGAGCCATCGGTAAAAATGATTGAAATAGCTAATGTACGTACTAAAACGATGAATGAGGTGATTCGTAGATATGAGGAACTTGCTCGACACTGAAAGTTTTGTAGTGTTGTGTTGTCATCATTGGCGGTCGCTGGTTCTGGGGTGGCCACATTCCCATAAGAGCTCCCGGTTCCCTTTAGACGTTACGTATTCAGGTGAAACCTTATGACAGAATTTGAACTAGAATTTTCAATCATTCTGGACGTGATGCGATAAAGGTAAAGAAGGACAGAAATGTTGGGTGGTCGCTGACGGGATCGACTTGCCCCACTTCGGACGGACCGGTCCGCCTCCAGGTCACAGAGCATTTTGCGTCTCTTCTCTTGTCTTGTTACCAGGAATGCCCCGACACTCCCTAAACGAAAGCATGGTCGAGTTATCGAAAGTCTGAGTATTGTTGACCACGAGTCAAGGACATAGCACCGAGATTGCTATTAGCAACATGCACTCTCGACTGCATTTCTGACACTGCCTCAACGACACCATCGGCAGTCATATCGAGCTTCGTTTACTTGAATAATGATGCGGTGTCGTAAGGTATCATGGATTAACAGACCAAATGTCGTCAAATCACAGGATGTGATTGAGATTGTGTACATTACAAGAGGTCAACGTAGCTTCTCTTCCTATCTTCAAGCTCGTGCTTTCGGCCAAGTAGATATACACGGTAAAAGCAGGTTAATGAGAACCGAAGACAGTACCAAAAGCTAGAGAAGCTACAGTGTCAGCGAAACAGTTGCGGGAAAGCTCTTGCGCGTTTTGGAAGACAGCATGGTTGACTTACGCAGCAAATACAGATAATCCATATGAACATCTCATGAGCTCGCACCCATATCGAGTTGACGGCGATACCTCCGAACACCCGCGCTCCAAATACCAGGGCCGTAGACTAATGTGTTTTGGATCTGAGAAGTCGCCTAAGTCCTGAAGATATGCACTGTATATCCACAATCCTGCGAGCAAGATGTCATATAATGCACTTATCGTGATTGTAGCGTAGAAGTCGAGAGCCTGCTTGCTGAAAGACATGATTGAGAAGCGAACAAGCCAGACGAACAGTGTTACGATTGCGATGCATAAGTTGCATAAAGTACAGCTGCATGAGGTATCAGAGTCCTGTATTACTATCGTACGCAGAACATTCGAACAGACCTTTCATCCCATATCAAGGGCATCGGCGGTGACTTGCGGTAATTTGCATAGTCATAGACACGTTGATGAGGATCGGAGTTCCAGCCTTTAGTGCCACCTTCTTGCCAAAGCACGGTTCGAAAGCGGTCAGGGTATACGGTTGCGAAGAGCGAGAGAAGTACAATGGCTAGGATCAAATCGAACAATGTGGCGCCGAGAAAGACCAGGTAGGGGTTGCGGTGCATGATGAGCGGTACGGCGAACGGACACCAAATCCATCCTACTGCTACTGGAAACTATGGAGGCGTGCAGTGAGGATTCTTATATCGTTCGAGTGATGAGAAACGACAAGGAGGATGGGCGCTAGAGCAATGTCAACTCACCTGTAGTTCTCTCGGGTACTCATCTGTGTTGCGCCTGTGGCAAGGTCCGGAATAGAATCACTTCGGGTTGCGACTGTTCTTTCCGCCTATGAATGGCAGACATACGGTAATGTGGAGGGGTCCACTACCATAGTGGTGGGTTAGTTGCATGCTCTGCATAAGCCCACTTTTCAGTAAGAACAAGCGCCAAGCAAAGTCGCGCAAATGCCCTCATTTTCAACGTTGAGAAGACACACCTAGACAACGCTCTCAAAGATTGCGTGTTGATTGCGACGAGTGACATGCGCAAAAATGCGTCCATTCTCGTGTGCTCATTTATGTGTTTTAGGACCGCCATGGTCCTGGCCAGGGGCACTCGTCTGCTACCGGTAAATTGTTCATGCTAAGACTTGGATAATTTGACACATGGATTGTCGCAGTCCAGCAGCTGTATGTGGCTGTCATGTTAACTTGAAGAAAACACGAATCAGACCAGGTAGTTCTGGTAGCGTAGCAATGTGACTTGCTTATTTCATATCCGTCTATATCGTACATGTGCGTATGTTTCTCTACGCTCGTATCAGCTGCGCTAATAGTTGCTAGCTGACCCATAATGCGTGTGCTCACCATGACACTTGCAGATCGTCCCTTCTTGAAAATCCCTTTCTCATACGCCCTGCGCAGTCCAGCTCTTCGTGTGCCCCTCGAGCTCTCGCGAGCCTGCCGAAGCTCCGGCTTCATTATACATGTCGCTCTCGTCACGATCCATACTGTCTTGCTATGCGGCATCGATAGCCTTCGTGTCACTTCCACCGGAATGCTCACTGCTTCGTGAGCCAACGGTCGCGTTTTTTCGTAGTACTCGCATATCCTGATGACTCTTTCTAATCCAAACCTTTCAACAGATACCACGTCGCGAACCCGGCAAAGAAAACCATGTTTATTTGATAGGTATAGCGCAGCAGTGTACCGAGCCGGTGGTTTGATTTAGGGGTCATGGTGTGCGCGTCAGGAATGCGGATGAGGCTGGTATCCGCGACTGAAGGTGTGTGCTCAGGTGAGCAAAGGATCACGTTCCGAGGGTGACAGTGACGTCACAAGCATGTCTTCCCGCTCAAGCGTAACTCTGCTTGGACGTCCACAACAACCGACGGTGTACCTCCACCGTGACACTCTTCTATCCCAAGCCTTGCAATGGCGTCTTTCGTTATCTGAAAGCTCATGTGCTACGCGCCTGCTTCGTGCATCAACATCGCGAATCTCGGTATCGCTCTGGGTCACGGCTGAGTCGATTCTTTGCCCTAATTACACAATTATAATCGATCGAGATTGTACTCCTTTGTTACTTTAATCTCATTCGCACCCAATGAACTCAGCCTCTCGGCAGGATCCGATTCGCTGCTCAAAGTGACGAATGTAGCCGCCTGTGGTTTTGCGCTCTGCGGCATCCATTGCGAAGGTGGTGCGTTGAGGTTTGATGTTGACGAGCCGTTGCTTGCTGTCCGGAATTTCATTCGCCGGAGACCAATACTTTCGTCGGTGGCGAGTGGAGGAGTTCGGCGCCACGTTGGTAGTGACCTGACATTAGGTACGCAGCAGCAGACAATGCCGACGGCGACTTCGATTGGGGAGAAACAGACGCGCCACCATGATGCACCAATCGGGTCTTCGTCGACGTTGCCGAAAACATCAATCGCACAGTCGATGCGGAGGACAGCCAGGATGGTACAGCTGCGAGGTGTCAGTAAGGAATGCTCGGGATCGAGTTGCAGCTTTCACTTACAAGCATCCGAGGAGAAACAAGACCATCACCCACAGCTTCTTCTTCCCCGATAGGTCTGCTGCTGCTACGGCAGGCAATGGAGCGAAGAGGATGACACTGTTGAAGAAGACGTGCAATGAGCCGATGATGATGCATGACTTCTTACTCTGCAGCTTACACTCTCCAGGAGGATGGCACATGCTGATCCAACCCGCGAGTGACCAAATATACCAGATCGCGATGAGCGCTATAGACACATAACAGGCTATGCGGGCAAACACTCTCTTCTCGTATAGCCGGAGATAGGATTTCGCGAAGCCCAACTGCACGGTTGCAATCGATGTAGCCCAGCAGATGTCAAGTGCGAACTGCATCTTCAATGCCTGTTAGCCAAACTCCGATGGACGTCAGGTCAAACATACCCGCAGCCAGAATCGCTCCACAACGTCAAAGTTCTTAGTCGGATCCGCCTTGATCTGATCGCTCGTCAAGCCTTCTCCACCCAAGAATACTAGCACGTAGACTAGAGCAACTACGACGAAGCTCATAGCCTGCGAGATGTCAGCATTGATCCGCAACCAAGAATCTGTAGTCCTACCAGAGCAGCCAGCATCAACGCATCTTCGCCCAAGGTATTGACCCTTCGAACACTCCTTGTGTACCATCTCGCTGCTACCACTGCCGCCGCAACCACAAAGCATATGGTAGGCGCGATCAACAACGCAAGTTGCTTGCCATTCACGATATCGAAACGTTCTGAGTTCTTCCCCGCCATGGTCAATATTATCCACCTCTTCTTCACTTCACCGCATATCGGGCGCACGTCAAAGTCGTCAAAGTCGTCGAGAGAGGGGCGAGACTGGAACCAGGATTAGAAAAGCCCCGAGCGGAGCGAACGTATGTAGATAAAGCCAAAAAGGCGATCTCCCAGTTGCCCGGTCCAGAGCACGGAGCTGTCATGCACTATGCTCGTTGAGTCCACCGTCGTCAACGCCTATCTCGCGGGATACCTAGGGTGCCTCAGCCGTGCGGCCCATGCGACATGTCTGCTTACGGCTTTTCGGGAGTCAAAAATTAGTTAGGGAGCGTAGCGGGGGCCGTGCTCCACGTCGCTGATTTGTTGCACATCAGGCGGTCCGACGCGGAACACGGCCGACCTGCATTAATCCTTGCTGACCATTTACTTCTGATCCAATCGAGTCGCCTTAGGGCAGCACACCAACACGCACCCTTCCATGGGGGGCATGCTCGTCCGGAAACCGATACGGCTAAAATGTACTATGACAAGCAAAAAGTAATATAGGAAGCTGGTATGTCTCTGCAATGTTCTGGTAGGTTTCCCATAGTAGTTTCACTGTCGTCGAGGCGACCGGTTGATCAGAAGTAAGAGGACGCTATGGGCGATCCGCGCATATGTCTGCATCATCACATGCGGGGTTGCCGAAGCGTGGAAGCTGAACACCCCCGGAGGCGATGGTTTGCATCCCCTATCGATCACGCCGCCCCAGGCTGGATACCGCGAACTGAAACAAGCCGCCGCCGAGTCGGCCGTTCTTCGTCGCGTGGCCGCCAGGACTAGGATTCTGTGCAAGCGAGGTGGCGCTTCCATCGTGACCCAGAACACGGACTTCACCTAGCGACAAGTTTGTAAGTTTACTTCCCAGATCGTGCACTCCCGCAGCCCAGGGGAACAGCGTTCATCCGAGCAAGTTTATTAGTTCTCAAACCTCAACAGTGCCACGGTCTCGCCCAACGCCAGAAAAAAGCCTCGAGGACGTTTTCCTTTGATTTTGTGGCGGCCCGATCGTGCTCCGAATAAATCTCCGACGTTATACCGTATACCTACGCGTGCGACGGGAGAGTTTCCAAAATGACGTTCTGGAATCAGACCATATAAAACCATATCTAGGATTTCTCCCGGCCATTTGCTGCCTTATTGTTTCGGCCTAAACTTTCCTACTGACGTCATTTTTGATATTGAATATCGGCATAGGATAAACATCGGGCAATGCAGATGCCTATCACAACAGTGCAGTGCGGAGTAGGAGTGAGTAATGGACATCACGTGCATGGCTTATCTGGTACAGTCACAGCGAACCTTGGAATAGAGCACTCAGGGAAGCAAGCGAGCGAGTGAGAAGTGATGCATTCCAAACCACTTATACCACGTTACGTGAAAACCATGCGTAGAGACCTTCGTTACCGTTAAAAGAGAAAACCACAAACCCAATAATCCACCCAGGAGGTCCTCACAGACTCGTCAACCAATGTACACAAACCCCAAAGCGTAGCGAGGAGGTTCTCGCACAATCCCAAAATCCCAACCCTAAAACCATCCTACTACTCTGCCACCAGAAAAGTCTGGCTGGCAACGTTGGCGTACGCTCTTGGGGAAGAGTTCGATCCTGCACATTGGGCAGGAGTTGCTGTCCTTCAGCCATGTGTCGATGCATGTCTTGCCGAAAACGTGACCGCAGGCATTTAGCCTTGCTCCGACTTGCTCTTCTTCGTTGTGGTGGCGATGAGCGTATTGATGGCGGTGGATGTCGGAGATGTCTTGATATGTGTCGACTTCATCGTCGAGCAGTTTTCGTTCAGCTTTGGTCAGAGGCTTGTGGGCGGTCTCTGATGCCTCGCAAGCGAGGTCTTTCAGGCAGATGCTGCAGCAATCTGCTTTGGTGGAGGTTGTGAGGTAGGGAGCCAAGCCGGACTTCTCAAAGGTAGCCTTGTCGGCGTAGACGGGTTTGGTCGAAGCCATGTCAATGGTGATGATGATGATGATGATATGGTAAGATGTCTTGGGTAGGCGTAGTAGTAGTGGTTGTAGTGTCGTCTGAAGATAGTTGGGACGGTATGGTGAGATGATCTTCGAATCCTAGGCCTTTGGAGTTATGATTTTTGCTGATGAAAGAAAAGAGAAGGGAAGGGACAGAGAGGACAGCTTTTATGGCGAACGAGCGAGGAAAGCACAGGCGATGATCTCGGGCGCGGCATCTGAACCATACTGTGAGTCGACACGAGCAGGTCAATGCATCCTATATCCTTTACGTTATTGTAAGCAGAAGTCCGCGGTACCTACCAAGAGTATCACGATACTGTGCCTCAGCGGAGCTTTATGGAGACAAGCGAGCATATCAGATGCTAGATAATCACTCCAGGGTCCATCAAAACATCAACCAAGGGTCCAAGATCCACTGTGGCATTCTACCCCGGAGGTTTATGTTCACTAGCTGTCCCGTGAGAGGATGGATGTATTCAGGATAATCCAGGCAACGGTTCTATGCTGCTCACCATTACATCAACATAGGCAAATTTCCACATCAGCAAAGATAACAAAGATTGATAACCACTATATACAGGGTCTACAGAGTCTCAAACTTCCGGTCGCGTAATCGACTCAAGCCTGCAACGGCTCCGAATGCGATTCTGCCTACACTATCCGTTGGTCTTTCATCCCCAACGAATCCCGGGCAAGCAGCCATGGTCTGCTTCCATTGTCTATGTCCCTCAGCAGCGCTCAAGATATCCGCATGGACCGTTCCAGCCTTGACCATTACCTCTCCACCCAGCCATGGCACAAACGGCTTTCCGTAGACGGCATAGATGGCGAGCACTAGTAGCCCGAGGAGATGAAGACCGAGAAAGATGGAGCCAATGATGATTTCCACAATCGTTATTTTGGTCTTGTTGATTGTGACGCCTTGGTCGGCAACCACTTTCCGCCTTTCATCGTAAGACAGAGTGTACCCTCTGGCTGAATCCAGCCAGTTCTTGTTAGCAAGGTAAGCGCCCACAGTAAACGCTTCTCTTGCAGCGTCCTCCTGCGAAAACCAGTCTACAAAAACTTTCACTTGTCCGATAATGTCATCTTCATCCTCGTGATCATAGCCTTTATTGCATTCCTTCGTGCTTAAATAAGCAAAGGAAAGAGGCATAGATGAGACGCAATTTGAGCCCCAGGGCGTATACCATGTATCGTATTTGGCATCGTACACCTCGGTTCGATTTAGGACGAAAGCGGATGGATTCGAAACGCGTTTCTCGATGAAAGAGCCTTCACCAAAGAGGGCTAGTCCAAGCGCAGTCAGGGGACCGATATGGTATCCTATATCCTGTGTGACGTTTCCAGCATAGGTGCCGTTGACATCCCGAATTGCCAGGCCTTTGTCCCAGCTACTGTCTCTATCCGAGTGCCAGTCGTCGATGCGTGACAGTGAACAATTGTCGAGCAAGGGCCCGGCGCGATTCCCATTCTTGGCAGACGGAAGCTCGAAGTAGCCTAATGACGTTTTGGCTGTTACTCTATAGTAGACAGGGTTCTCTTCGTATAATGCTGTTGTGCTGAGATAGAGCTCTTCTGTGATATCCTGCCGATTGTGTGTAGCTTGCCAGGGTGTGTCGCTAATGTTTGTAGGCATACAAGCCGTTAGATCAATGTCATAGGCCCTAGGACGGCGTGAGTGATACTCTGCAAAGAATACACCTTCTTTGTCACGAACACACTCGCTTGGCCATTCGGCAGCAGTCATGTTCGTATATGTAACCGTTGTGTTGATGCGCGGCACATACTGAAGCTCCTCGTAGACACCGGTGTTGTAGTCCGAGGGTAAGGGTGTGAACCAAAGGTCTGGATAATCGGAATCGGCGATGATCTGGAAATCCCTCCGATAGTCGACAAAAGTGCACTGACTTGGATTCCGACACCTGCCACCAAGGGTCGGCTTGACCCAGAGGAAAGGTTCATAATGGTCCTCCGTAATCGATTCTAGGATGCTACGGAGTTGAATGACTCTAGGCGTGGGGCGGCTACCACCACTGTTGATCAAAGCAGGCACATCAGGAACATAGTGACTACTATATTTGGTGTCCATAGATGCCATTTGTGTGGGGGTGATTCGAACAAAGATCCCCTGAAGGATCTGGAAGACCACGCCTATATTTGGGTCAGCAATGCCTTCCTACTGATATTCACGCAACACATACCGACCAACGTCAACCCAAAGGCCATGTATAATGGTAGACTTCCTACTTTAGAATACATGGTCCATATGCGCGGACTGATCCAGCCTTGGTCTGCGAGCGCCATGGTCTGGCGAAGGTTCAATTTCGTTCTTGCGCCGCCCGTTTGGATGAAAGAAGCCAGAGCCATTGAACAAATTGCCGATGTAATGGGAATAGTGACTAGTGCGACGACTACCTGTATGATCCGCGCTGCCCTGATGGCGTTTTCGTGTTTAGTCAAGATAGCATCTAGCTCCTCTCTGTAGGCATCTTGGTTCCCATAGTCCTGCTTGCTTCCAATCGGCCGCTTACTCGCAATGCAAAACACGGCCCATGTGAAAGCGGATAGCGCGGCGTAGAATATGAAGACTACCAGCGGCCACAGCGATGTGTGTAGGTGTCTGACCACTGGTTCGCGAACAGTCCTGGAGGACGCTCTTGATAAAAACGTCGGCTCATGAGTAGCTTCTGGGACCTTTGGAGTGACCGTATTCACGGGGGCTGTCTCTTGTCCCACTCCTTGCATTCCGTGCAGTTCTCTTTCTTCCATGTTTGCTGTGGTAGGTTCGATAATGAAGAATCCGACGACTCTTACATTCTGCGCTGTACAGGTGATGGGACAGGTTTATTAGACTACACAAATGCCTGTGGCACAGCAACGTTTGTCGTGAGTGCCAAGCCTTGGCTCTCGTATTGATACATATTTGGTATTGATGCTGGGGGCCGTACCGGGTAGCGGCACGGGAGGACCTGATCTTCAGTCGTCGCACCGGGGTTTGGGAGGCATATTTTGAACACCAAGCTTGGTGTCAGTACACAGGAAATATCGACATGTGAATAAAAAGTTTTTAAGGCTTGTCTGCACCAGATTGTGGCGTTAGTTAGCACGTTGCAATTAGGCGTACATAGGTACAATCTCCAGGTCAGCCGCTTGCAAGTCTCGGGGCGTATTTGCTGTTTCTGCATGTTCAGCCTTACAGAACAAATTACGAGGCGTCCCATCGGTCGTCAGGCCAGGCGAGGTTAGAGTGTGGTGTTTTCGGCACGCGATTCATTTCTTTGCAACCACAATAACGCCACGCATGACTCCGGTCCTTCCCCACCAGCTAAACATGGTCTTCGCAACACCGAAGCGTCCTATGCCGAGGCCTAACATTTTGAGTCTACTGTCTTGCTCTGTAAGAAATAGTGCTAGTGGCGCGAAGACATGCTCCGATATATCCGTGATAATTATGGCCTCAGACTTGTATCCCACGTGCTCGAGCTTCGAGCGGTACTCCTGCGGTGTGCTAAAGTTTGCCCAAGGAGCGCCCATGAGTGCAGTGAGAAGACGAAGCATAGTTTTCTGTGTCCATGTTGCGGTTGGAGAAAGGCACAGATCGAAGCCCATGTAGTTGGCTTCGAGTTCAGAGTAAGCGTGTTCGATGATAGGCCAACGTGATGGCGAGAAATGGTACGCTGTGTCCAATGCTAATACCCACCGCTCATCTGAACTCGCTCTTGCCAGTCGTATTGAGTTTTGTAATCTTCCATTCCATGATGTGGGTTTTGACGCATCAGCACAGAAGAGCGATATCTCCACGGTTGAGCCTTTGTTATGCTTGAACTCTTCAACTCGCTCCGACGCAAATCGCGCCTGCGATTCGTCTTTTGTGATCCCAATATAATGGTCAAATGTAGCACATCGCTCTCGTTCGTCCCACCAGTCTTTGTCGCACGTTCGTACAGGTTCTTTGCTCATGAGATAGATGGTCTGATCTCCGCATCCGAAGCCTAGGTCGAGCAGGAATCTTCTTCGTTGCGTTTGTCCTTCGTCGTTGGACAACCCTGCCTCGGCAAGTACAGCTTTCAAGAGATCGCGACATGCTTCGCTCAATGTCTTGGAAGCAGGAGGGCTTTTCCAATAGCCCATATTCATCCACATGGCGGTTGGAACTTGCAGATGCAGTCGCCCATGTTGCAAACCATAGATCGAAGCTTTTTCCTTTTCATTCCTCTGTGAACGTTGCATTATCCAGTAGAATGCAGCGGCCAGCCATACTCCAAATATCTGCATGGATCTTTGGCCGTCCATGCCCAGTTTGCCAGACGAAGTGCTTTCGTGCGAAACCAAGCTGCGGATGTAGGCCTGTATGACGCTGGATAGCGCGAAACCGGTGAAGACAGTGTAGCCAAAGAATAGTCTATCCCACATTGCTGTTTGGTGTGTTGAGGTGATTGGGTGGATAAAGACTTGACAAGCAGGTGAGATCTCGGGAAGCTTCAACGGGCAGTGACGCTAACCGGTTCAAGCGAGCATGTACGACGAGGTGCACATACAACTGACGATATGCGTCAGCAAGTTGAGAAGCCTGCACACTGCGCACTCTAATGTCGGAAAGCTTTTAACTTATTTTCAAGTCTATGAATTTGTTCTGTAATGGAAATGGACATGTCAACATGCCTGGGTATCTACTCTATCGGACCATCTACCGTGCTACGTAAAAGCTTGTTGTATCCAGCAGGAGCACCGGGCTCAACCTGGGTGCTCTTTGACAGTAAGGTACAAGCTAGAAACTCAAGCCTTTTCATTGTTTACTGATGCCTCCACGGCACCTTGACATGGAGCGCATCGGCAACCCGCATGGCTGATATAACACAGCCCTCTAGGAGGACCATACCATCCCAACACCAGCCGCCCACCAGCCATACGTTATCCTCGCCGTTCCTCCAACGCGGCACTGATTTGTCATCCGCACTGAAATTCGAACCGTTGTCGAAGATGGCATTGACGATGCGCTGGCTTTCTGGACTGCGGAGAACGCGCGTGAACTTGCTCCGTTGAGTCACGTGTTGCTGCTCGAGAGGCGTGAAAGGGCAGGTTGTCACGACGACACCGCAGGGCTGGAGATGATGCGACTCGGTCACGGGTGTATCGGCGGTGGATGTGTTGAGATGGATGAGCTGGGCGCCTTTCCTGTCGTTCTTGTTGAGGTCGCTCCCGTGCAGCACTGCCCAGTCTGTATGGACGACGCTCTCCACAACGGCGGTTGGTATGCGCTGCATATGATGTTGGAGGGGTCTGAAGATACGGCCCACGACGTCTGGAGCAACAGCCAAAATCACTTTGTCGAAGTACTCGGTTGTCGTCCCCGCGTCCGATGCACTGCACCACGATATCCGAACCCCCTTTTCGAAAGGCTCCACTGCCGTGACGGTGGCATTGAGGGTAACGTCGATACCTTTGACTAGGCGTTCCTGTACCCCTCCCACGCCGTCTGATACGGTATAGTGCGGCGCGCCATGAGTCCTCCGCTTGTATCCGATGATGTCGCTGGCGGGAAAAGCGAGCAGCGAATTGTGAGGACAGGTAGACACGCTCGACAAGAGTGGGAGCAGGTAGTAGGTGGTGAAGTAGCGCGGGCAATATGTGCGGTCCAGGTACTGCTGCAGCGTCTCGGATTGTCTCGGCCCGACGAAGACACAGCAAAAGGTAAACCACGTGTACGAGAAGGCTAGGTATAGGCACTGCATCAGGTACACGACAATGCCAACTCCGCTGGACCGGGGCGCAAGCTGGTGGAGGTTGGATGCGTGTGTGAAGTACGACGTGTCGCGGCGTCCAGGCGCAATGGCCTCGGATTTGGCATCGTGGCTCACTGCGAATTCGAAAAGGAAGGGCTGCGAGTGGTAGGATATGCGCAGGTAGTCGTAAAGGGCCTTGAGGTTGTTGTAGTAGCCGCCCGCAAAGGCGCGCATGGGCAGATCCACGCGGGTCGAAGCATCCTTGGCGGCAGCATCGGGTAGGGAGATGGAGGCGGCGTCGAGGGAGAGGGTTTTTCCCTAGAATTACTTTTGTCAGTGGAGGCCCCAGAGAGAATGGGCATGGGCATGGGCATGGGCATGGGCGTCAGGCGTCCCTACCGACTCGAAGACCCTGACGGCATATCTTTGGCGGACGTCGTGGAACAACAGGTTCGCGCTAACAAGCCCAGCAAGGCCCGACCCTATTATTGCGACTCTCTCGCGCGCGTGTTCCATGTTGGAACGATGGTAGGCGTCAGCTGTGGAGAGCTGTCGTGTTGTTGTCTAGCAAAACATGACGTGAAATCGACGTTTGGCCTCGGCTGCAGCGCTGCAGTCTCAGAACAGGCATCGTCCGTCTACCCATCGTTACGGACGTTAATCGACAACGGGCAACCCCATGGCCGCGGCGACTAAGCTCGAATAGAACAAAGTGCATCGAGGCACAAATGCATGCCGTGGGGTCGCGCATCCTGTCTTGATGTCATGGTCGAATTGGGACGTGATGATTGGCCACCCAAGCGTGACCACCGCGTCCCTTGCAGCGTTAGCCACCCGACAAGTCCATCTCCACGCTCTGTAACACAACCCTCTGTGTGACCGTCAAAGATATCCTGAGTGTCTGCCGAATGTGAACATGTCAGGGACCGACAAACTCCCCGCCATGCGAGTCGCAGTCATCGGGGCTGGGTACGCTCGCCATTCCTACCCTGAATATCACATGCTAACGCAGCCAAAGTCCCGGTGGATTGACAACCCTGAAGACGTTGCTCGAGGCATCGACACCTGAGCGGCCGATAGAGGCCGTCTTGTTCGAAGCGTAAGGTTACTTCATCTGGTCTCAATCGGACCAACTATCACGTGGCCTGACATCCTCCCCAGCGAAGACAACATTGGAGGCACCTTCCACTACCGCGCCTACGAGAACGCTGAGCTAGTATCATCCAAGCAACTAACGACTTTTTCCGATCACCGCTTTCCACTTTCAGCACCTGACCACATCTCACTTCCGCAATATGTTGCCTACTTGCAGGGCTATGTGGACAAGTTCGATCTACAACCACTTATGAAGATGGGCTGTAGAGTCAGCAAAATCGAACCCATATCTAAACCAGTCGACCAGAAATGGAAGCATCGTGTCAGGTATGTTGACAAGAATAGTGATGGAAAGGAGCGCACTTTCGACTGCTCCCACGTCGCGGTCTGCACTGGACTACATGTCGAGCCCAACATTCCCGCTATCCCTGGTATCGAGAATGTCAAAGGCGAAGCATTCCACTCTTCTCAATACAAGAAGCGGGCGCAGCTTGCGGGCAAAGACGTGCTCATCATGGGTTGCGGAGAGACTGCTATGGGTATGTCACATGCCGGACACATAACGATAAGTATAGGCTAACATACCCAGATGTCGCTTATGAGGCCATGAAGGGCGATGCAAATTCTGTCACCATGTGCTTCAGAACAGGCTTCCTGTCTTTTCCCAAGGCTCTCTCGCGATTCAAAGTTTTCGGCAAGCAGTTCAAAGGAGGCCTGCCCATTGATGGCCTCATCACCAACCTCTTCGAGACAGCCTACGTGCATCGTGCAATAGCTGCGAGTCGCTTCCGTTGGTTCGTGTCGGACTTTGTCATCAAGCGCGTATTGTGGTTCTTGACTGGTACTCAAGCAGGCATGAAGTGAGCTCTTCTCCTACCATGGCGACCGAGCACATGCTAACCTGATGTAGTCAGCACGTTGGCGCACTGCCACATGATCGTCTAGGCAGAGCTTTCGTATTTCTAAACAAGAGTAGCAAAGCGATGCCATACTTGAACAGGCCATACCAAGAGAAACACCCTCTTGCTTTCCTTGGTAATGGCTACGTAGATCCGCCCGAGGATGCGCAGTCAAAAAAATGGGTCGACACTTGCACATTTCCCCAGCGAATAGACGAGACAGGCAGGGTGATATTCGAAGAGCGACCAGACCGAAAAGACTGGAGGCGCATGAAGAACACGGAGGTGCGGCCCAACTGCGTAGTTTACTGCACTGGCTACAAGCAGTCATTCTACTTCCTCGATGAATCATACCCCACTGCGTCCGACGCTACCATACGCAACATCGTCTCGCCTGTGGACACCAGTATATCCTTCATCGGCTTTGTACGGCCCGGTGTTGGCGCTATTCCTCCTATTGCCGAACAACAAGCCATGTGGTGGACAGCGCTCATCACCAACCAAATGGCCATGCCCACCGACCCTCCACACTACCATCTCCTGTCTAAAGAAAGCTCGCGCATTAAATACGGTGTCGATCATAGCGCGTACATGAGTACCCTTGCGAAAGACTTTGGTGGCGCCCCTGGGCTGCGCGAGTTGTACACGGCCCATGGCTTGAAGGTGCTCCTGGTCTACTGCTTTGGAGCGAGCTTTGTGACCTTCTACAGGCTTGTTGGCCCCTTCGAGAGCGACGTTGCTCCTGAAATCACAAAGACTGAGTTGGCAGAGACAATCCTCCGCAGAGGTATTTTAGGGAACCTGTTCTTCGGTGTAAGTTCTGAACCAGAATTGCAGTCAAATATCACATGAACTGACATTGTCACAGGTGATACCAATGATCTTCTACGGTTTGATCAACTCTACAGCTCTGATGCTCGAGATGGTTGGTCTGATACCAAAGGAGAAGCCAGTTGTATGAGTACGAAATGCTTGGTGGTCATTGCGGCCTATCACGCTTATAGGAGCCTGCTATGGTAGATGAATAGATATGAGTAGATGCAAAAGTATTCGCTAGTGATCTGCATTCTAAATTACGGTACTCACCGAGGGTATCTCTCATACTGCGTTGAAACTACAAACATTTACATAAAACTAAAGAGGTGACTAAGAAGAGTTGCTGTTGTCAGCACAAGAGAAAGCCGAATCGATCAACCCATCTCGGTACGCGTCCTTGATCTGCACAATAACGCCGTAAGTGCCGCCGATCGTCAAGAAGATTGAGATGCCAATCAAGATGACGTGGAGCACGTACATAATCTTTTGCCACCAGTTGCCTTTCCAGTAATCCTGGTGATCGTAGATCCAGAGCCATCCAGGCAGTCCCAGCGCCAAAGGAGCAAATGCAATGCTTCCCGCCAGACTGAGCAAGTAGTTGAAAATAGGCACACCAGATGCGATCACGAAACTGATAACCGTCATGAAGGTAACACAGCCAAGCCAAGTACCCCAGTGTACTGGCGTGTTGGCCTGTAGATGTTTTGAGTTCCTCAGGATACGGACGAAGACGTATTTCGCGCTGACGTGTACGTATAGCGCTCCACTGACGCACAGTCCGATCAGTCCGACTCCATAAGCGACCTTCTTGACCGTGGGTCCAGCGCTACCAAGGGAGGGTGATGCGACCCATTTGCCGCACCACTTGTACACGACGAGACTGAAAGAGAGGTACGCGGCTGTGACGAGACCCATGCACCAATTTACGGCTTTGGCGTACTCGCGCGGGTTGCGCATCTCGGACATGACGGGCAGGAACGCTGATGTACCCGCACCGGAGCAGAAGATGGTCGAGGCAGCTGTAATGCCAGCGGCGAAGGTTGGGTGGCCGATGACGTGGTAGCCGAAGTCGTAGGGCCCAGATTGAGGAGCTGCGGCCGGTCGGTCGAGGGTTGTTACTCCGACGCTGTATACATATTAGTCCACGTGGTCATCTACTTTAAATGAAGAGATTGCTTACACAACGATGAAGACAGCGATGAAAACGGATGAGAAACCTGCCCAAGTGATCCAAGACAGCTTCTCGAACTTCCGCACACTCGCACAGAGACCGATCATGATCGCTGCGATGATGGAGAAGTAGTTTGTGCAGAGCGAGTGTTCGCTTAATGCGTTCAAGGCTGTTGACACACCGACCATACCGGAGGCGCCGACAATGATGAACGCAACGAGGAAGAGGATACCGCTGATCTCCTTGACGACGCGGCCACCAACCAACTGACCCATGTCGGCAATCGAGTGACAGCCTGGGTGGTTGTTACGGAACTGGCCCTGCACCAATGCGCACCAGGTGTTTAGCCCTTGCCATCCAAGCACGTTGATGGCACCGGGGAACGCGCCGAGTGTGTACATGGCGCTAGGGATGGTGAGAACACCAGTTGCAAAGATGACTGTAACACGATGATAGTCAGTATGGAACAGTTTTGGTGTAGTTGATTGGATCATGTTACTTACGTTTCAGGAAGATGACTGACGTATGGATCCAGTGCACCGTTCGGAAGTCCTCATACCCCTCTCCTCTCTTGAAGATCTCACCATCACTCTCGACGTCGACCTTGCCGTTGATACTTTCGGAGCTGGTGCTCGGAGCTGGCGCGATGATGTCGTCTTGCTTCTCGGTCGACATGTTGGCGGCGGCAGACAATGATGCCGGACTCTGTTATTAGGCTCGAGCGATGAACTCTGATCTGTCGGTACTTTAGTCACGGTATATATATATCCAAGTGTGCATGTATGCCATGCAACGGCCTTGTCCTTGCACGGTGCACTGATAGTCGATAACCCGCGTGGTATCAGCACGCGGTATCTTAGAATCCGGGGCATTGTGGGCTGGCAGGATCCACAGCCCCGTTGTTTTGGAGGTTGATAGTGGCGATAGAGCAGTGCACGCGACTCCAACGCCTACGCGACTCGGGCGCAGGGGTGTCTCCAATGATACCCCAGCCTCTTGGTACCTGTTACCGGGGATCATCGCAACTCCAACTGATTGGGGAGATTGTGAACTAAGCGGCTTGGAGGTCTTGTATTCGTCTTGGCTGGTATTTGGAGGTGCGATTAGTATGTTCGTTTGGTTCGGTATCCTTAGTGTTCACCCTGCAGGTGACTAGTCTTCCATCTGCATCAGCGATTGCGGTTCCCGGTATATTTTGGCTTTCTGGAACGTAGTTCGTGCGGAGCTAGGCTGCGCATTGCCGTGATCTACCTATCTTACAGAAATGGCCGATAAGTGGCATTGCTCTTTTTTGACGACTGCTAATTAATCTTTGATGCACGGCTGCGGTGCAGTAAAGTATTATCTTTATGCATTAGTTGTTGAAAGAAGAACATCAGATAACTACTAATGGCATCGATTCGAAGATTTAGCTACTCTTTCAGTTTAAGGCCTGCTTCGGCCGGCATGAGTGCTCCCTCGGGTGGCGGGCTCTTCTTTTTGAACTCATCCGCCATCTGTTCCATAGTCACGAATTCAACACCTTCATGCTTCTTGAAGTGCTCAATCAACCTTTCGTGCATCAAGAGTAGATGTGGTCGTCCAGATACGTCAGGGTGGATTGTGATAGGCTAGAGAGTCGCATTAGATCAGCCAATACCTCAAAGTTATACCTTAGTTGAGACTTACAAAGATGAACTCATCATACTCGCGGTAGAAGTAGTCGAAGTGATCTCTCCACAAGTCTTCAGTGTCTCGTGCATTGACAAAGCCATGGCTGTTCGGCGAGGACTTGATAAACATGTGAGGTGGCAGATCCTAGTGTCGTCTGTTAGCGTGTGGTTTACCTTGTACTGCCGATCGTACATACATCAAGATACCAGTTTGCTGGAATCTCAACCAAGCCAGTCTGTTGACCTGCAACGAGCGGCTTCATCCAATCTTTGGCTTTCTTCTCGTAGTCAATCTTAGTCCAAGAGTCTCCAGTTCTGAGATAGTAAGGTTGGCAGTCGTGATGGCTCATGCTGTGGTCGTATTCAATACCATAAGAAAGAAGCAGTTCTGCACCTTCGCGACTCGTCTCCCACCTAAGAAGAAAGTTAGCATGGCGGATGGAAGCAATCAATCCATCGACCTACCAGGGCGCAACACTTCCCCTGGGAGGTTTGCCAGCGAACTCGGTCAACATGCGATATGTCTTGTCAAGCACGTCTCGCTGTTGTTCCATGCTCATATCGACGGGGTTTTCGTGACTGTAACCGTGAAGACCAATCTCGTGCCCAGCGTCGCGTACTGCAGCCATGTCTTCTGGGAAAGTCTCTAGACTATGGCCCGGAATGAACCATGTGGTCTTCATGTCGTACTTCTTGAACAGCTTCAAGAGGCGCTGCGTACCAACTGTGCCAGCAAACAGACCGCGCGAAATGTCGCTGGTACTGTCTTCTCCGCCATACGATCCAAGCCACCCACATACCGCATCTACGTCGACACCATATGAAATAAGAACGCGTTTCTTGCCCATGTTAGCTGTGTTGTGAGGAAAGATGGTGGTGGTCTGTCAGGTAAGGTGTGAATCGGTTCCCGAGGTCAACGGCAGAAGCTGTCAGCCGGATCTGTGTGGGAGAAACAAGACCACATGGTTGATCCGGCATTACTTCCTCTTAATGCCATGATGCCGACCCTGAAAACCATCGCGGGGTAATTAGCAGATAGAATGGTGCTGGAGCCGGCGGCGGCTTGTGCATTTCGTCATTGGACGTGGCAGCTGGCCCCCTGCCTCCATAACGGCGCGCTCGCTTATCAGTCCCGTCTTATCGTCGACCCCAACGACTCCAACTCTCCTCTCCAACTCATCCGAATTCGGTCCTACACGTGGGGACAGGCAATCGCATGAAGCTATGATGACGACGACCACGGTATTGAATGCAGTGATGCAGCACAGTCCTTCGAGTACGTTCATGGTTCATTCTGAATATGCCGGATAAGATGCGCGCAGCACAGATCGTAGAGGTAGGATGACGTCACACGAACTCTCGGAAGCCCATCTAACATAGGCATTTAGTATGAGAAACCATATCAGCTATGTGAGCGACCTATACCTCAGTGCGGCGAGCGTGACCTCCTCATTGAGGTGTACGCAGCTGGCTTTTGTCACTCAGACCTGCAAGTATGGAATGGGCAATTTCCGGCAGAACTGCCAATGATTCCTTCGCATGAGCCTGCTGGCAAAATCGTACAGGTTGGCGCGAACGTACAAGGTTCCTGGAAGGCTGGGGATCGAGTGGGTGTTTTGAATTACAAGAATGCGTGTGGGCAATGCGCAGGATGTCGCCAGCACTCACGGAGATCCAAACGTCCTGATCCGCGCTTCTGTCAAAGACGAATTGTGGCTGGTTTCAGGCATGATGGCGCATTCGCTGAATACATGCTGGCTGACCCAGAAACCACCGTGCATCTCCCGAGCGGAGTTTCTTTCGAACAGGGAGCACCTTTGATGTGTGCTGGAGTAAGTTGGTCTGGTGTCTAAATCGCAAGCAATGCCATTGCTAACATCATCAAAAGGCGACAGTATGGGGCGCATTGCGAAAGCTTAGTCCTCAGGTCCAGCCAGGCGATGCTGTAGCTGTGGTAGGCATCGGAGGTCTTGGACAGCTTGGAGTACAGTTTTCCAAAGCACTTGGATACAGGACGATAGCAATGGATAACCGTCACGAAGGTCGCCAGCTTTCGCTCGACTTGCCTGACCATTTGAGACCCGATCTGGTTATGGACTCAACAGCCAAAGATGCCGAACAGAAGATATCAGAGTTTACTTCCGGCGAAGGCCTCGCAGGCATCGTAGTGTGTACCGATTCGATACAAGCGAACGCCTGGTGCCTCCAACAACTGGGCAACGGTGGTGTTATGGTCCCGCTGGGACTACCAAAAGACAAGTGGCAGTTTGACTCGGAAGCCATGGTGTTCCATGAGCTTACTATCAAGGGCAGCTATGTTGCTAGTGCTGAGGAAGTCGAGTCGATGCTGAAAGTGGTGGCCAAGCACGGAATTTCTTCGCATTTGACTGTTCTAGGCTTCTCGGAAATCCCTAGTCTCGTCGACAGGTATCTGCATGCATCGATGAAAGGCCGACTGGTCGTCAATATTAAAGAGTAAGATTTCATTCGGGCGGAAATTATGGGCGCCAAGTTTTTCCGCGGAATAGCTGATCTCGCCACGAGTTGGGGTCATTTGGAGAGCTTGTTGCGTTAGCATGATTTGTGGAACCACCGACCCACCTACCCGCGATTGGCTACGTAGTACGTAAAAGTATCTCTTCTACATCAATATGTATACTATTTCATAGCAAGATATAGACTCAACATCTGCTTGGTTTTTCTCAGTTGTCGCACAACTTCGTGTCAAGCACCAGGCATTCACCATCATGTCTGTCTTTTTCGACTCTCCTATAAGGTCAGTGGCAACAATGGTCCTGTTTCCATGAGAATGTATGCTGATGCCAGTGAAGTGAGGATCTTGTGGCGGTGGGCGACGCAGAAGCCGTGCTGGAAAGCATCGGTGTTACCGATGGCATACCAGCAAATGAATCCCAGGACTACCATCAGCTGTTAGCTGCTGTTCATGATGTTGCGGAACACATACTACAATTACCGGACTATACGGCACGGACAGATACTGAGAAGTACCCGCGAGAGCAAATACATCGACCATCCGCAGATGAGCAGGATTTTGGTAATGCTTGGGCCCACAAGTTTCTCATAAGTGGCAATCCAAAAGGAAGCTTGTTGAGAGGAAAGACGCTATGTCTCAAAGATAATATCGCAGTGGCTGGAGTGCCACAGTTCTTTGGAACTGATGCCATCCCTGCGTGGACACCTGATGACGACGCCACCGTAGTTAGACGAGCACTAGATGCCGGTGCTGACGTCGTGGGAACGACTATATGCGAGAACTTCTGCAACTCTACCTCGTCCTTTACTTCGGCACAAGGTACCGTCCACAACCCATATGCAAGGGGTTACTCTGCTGGTGGCAGCACATCTGGTGGTTCCGCAGTAGTCGGCGGGGGTCTTGTAGACATCGCAATTGGTGCCGATCAAGGTGGAAGTATCCGCGTCCCGTCATCTTTCTGTGGCTGTAAGTGTACTATAGCTACTGTGCACAACAGTGCCAGGTTATCAAAGACTGACTTGAGTAAATATAGGTGTCGGACTGAAGCCAACACATGGCCTAGTCCCTTACACTGGGATATCCAGCGGCGACGCTATCAATGATCATGCCGGGCCCATAGCAAGATCAGTAAACGACGTAGCATTATGCCTTGACGCAATCAGTGGAAAAGACGACTACGATGATCGTACACTTGGTGCACCGACACACGGTTCTACACAGTACGCAAAAAGTCTCCAAAAGTCGGTCGCAGGATTGAAGATTGGCATTCTCAAAGAAGGCTTTGAGCATCGACTCGTCAACCAAGATGTCAGGTCGACCGTGAGGAAGGCCGTTCAGTCTTTCGAACGTCTCGGTGCTACCGCCGAAGAGATTTCGCTACCTCTCCATCTAGAAGGACCAGCTATTTGGACCATCCAACAGCGGATCGCAGGTACTCTCAACATGTTGGGCTATGCGCACGGTCGAAGAGGTCTCTTCTCAACAGCCTACGAGGCCGCAAGACAGCCATGGACGAACGAAACTTTCCAGAAACTCTTCCCATCCACGAAAAATACCATGATCAACGGCCTCTCTCTTATGCAAAACTATCCAGGTCTTTATGCGAAGACTATGAACCTCGCTCAACAGCTCCGAGACTCTTATGAAAAGCTTTTCCAAGACTTCGATCTTATTGTCATGCCAACGACACCTTTTGTAGCTCCACCGAACATAGATTGGAAGCGAGGGGAGGATGCACCAATGGATGCACTGAAGCCAAGTATGGGCATCACCATCAATACCGCTATCTTTGATGTCACAGGTCACCCGGCCATGTCACTTCCCGTTGGATTTGCCCCTTCGGGTGTCGATCCTGAAGTTAAATTACCGGTTGGCATGCAACTAGTTGGTGGCCTATGGCAAGAGCAGAAGATACTAAACGCGGCTTTCGCGTGGGAGTCGGCAAACGACTGGAAAAGGATTGGCTTTTCAAAAGACCAAGATTCAAGGCTTGCCACGAAGCTATGAAGATACTTTTATTAGACTTCCGATATTTAGATGCAATATATCCCATTATCATCGTAAATTGTATTGATCAGTTGATTGTGTAGCCGCCATCCACAACGAGTGCATGCCCTTGAATGAAGGATGACTGTTCTGAACACAAGAATAGTACTGCGTCAGCGACCTCGTCCGGCGTACCCATCCTCTTCATAGGTGCTATCTCAATGGCAGGCTTCAACGCCTCCACCATAGCTGGCGATGTGGTAGTCATTGGCGTTTCAATGACGCCAGGGCAAACGCAGTTCACACGAATAGCATCGTCGCTATAATCAATGGCATTCGCACGTGTCATATTGATTATAGCAGCCTTTGAGGCGCAGTATGCAGCTGTAGCGTTCTCGTTAATCCAGAGTTCAACATGTCACAAGATGAATGACTTACCAGCACCCGGCCTTGCCACGATGCCGAGCTGACTCGCAATATTGACAATTGAACCCCTTTGCTTGGGATGCTGATCCAAAGGTTTCTGTTTCAGCATGTTTCTTAGCTGTGCGCGACAACTAAGCCACGATCCCTTGTAGTTGATAGCGTTTAGTCGGTCGAAGTGCTCAGTGGTCATGTCCACTGCTTTGATGACATCGCCCCCAAGTACACCCGCGCAGTTGACACCATAATCTAATCTTTTGAATTTGGTAAACACCTCGTCGTTGAACTCGTCAACGAAACCTTCGTCAGCGACATCTCCAGCTCTGTGGAAGACTTGAGCAGATGGATTGATGCTCAGGATGGCGTCTTTGGTCTGGTCAAGGGTTTTCGGGTTCAAGTCGGTAATTGCGATCCGCGAACAGCCTGATCGGGCGAAACCTTTGGCGACGGCCGCCCCAATGCCTGTTTACCATAAGTATGCAGGAAGAACGGCGTATCAATGCGTAAATGCTTACCAGTCCCTCCAGCGCCTGTGATGATTGCTACACCTGGGAGTAATCTTGCAAGCGATGCCATTCTGCTAAAATGCGACGACCTGAGCCAAAGGGGCTGACTCTTCTTCGTTGCGGTCAGAAACGAGCGTCGTCGCAATCAATCAACCAAGATAGGCGCTGGTTGTTTGACTTGCTGCAGCGATGTCCATACTCCGCAAAGATTTACCACCGACATAAAGCCCTGCCGGGGATGTATTGGCAGCTCTTCCCGTTGAGTTCCGCTATCTTGGAGTAAATGGAACGGCTACTCCGAAGATGGCGCGCTAGGCACGGCGCTATCTACCCCTCAGACACAATTGGCCGAGGGCAAAACCTAGAAGTGAAGACAATGACCCACCTCACTCCAATTCCATCTCCAATAATTCTCACCACATGCACGGCCTCGCTCATGTTTGTAGTCACTGCTCAAGGAGCTTCAAGCGAGCAGAGCATTTGATCCGTCATACCCGTACACGTTCGTGCCTCCAAATAAGCGACTCCACGATGACGGCGTCGTAATAACTGATGTCACCATAGATACTAGAGAAAAGCCATACTCGTGTCGGTGCGGAGCAGCTTTTACACGGCGTGACCTGCTTACTAGGCATTGGCGCATCACCCACCATGCCGGCAATCCTGATGCAGAGTCGACAACGTCGACTGAAACTGCCACGACGATAGACGCATCTAGCTTGAACGTGCCCGGCGCAGGGGCCGCCGAAGCGCATCTCGTCCCACAGGCCCATTCACAGCAACTCGAATTGCACACTCATCCTCCTCCGGCTTTCCAAGAGCTCCAGCAGGCGCCACCATATCACGATGAAGGATTCGAGGACTTTCGTGACTTCGTAAACTTCATCGACGGTGTTGGTCTATCAGCCCAATGGACGCCGGAGTACGACTTTGACTGGATGCGACTCGGCGAGCATCATCAAGAATCCCGGCGCCATTCTCGGGAGCCAGAGACCAGATCATCTCCTGGTCCTGAAGACATTGGAACACCTTTCAGCACCTGGCTACCATCAGCGCCAGCCGATGATCAAGTCAATTTGAGATCAAACGGGGAAGATGGTGAGAAGAGAACAAGGAGTGGAACATATAACGTCACGGATGAACATCGCAACTTCTTGGTTTCGCTGCTTGAGAGCTTTCCTTCACCCATCAGCGATTTCCAGATACCCTCTCGACATACACTTACTAGGTATATCACCGCGTTCTTTGGCGGATTCCACTCGCACTTCCCATTTATCCATTCGCCAACATACAAACCGTCATGTTCGCCTTTGGAATTGACCTTGGCTATGTGTGCTGCTGGAGCACAGTATTGCTTCGAGCGACGAAGCTCAGAACGTCTCTTTCGTGTATCAAAAGCCATCGTGTTTCAACGCCTTCGGCAGGAAGAGTCACACTTTGGACCACAGACTCTTGCTTTTATCGCTTCTACCAATATAGTTTCACCAGAAGCGCATTTCACCACTAGACGTACAGGACCATGGTCGCCTCTGGATCTGGCGAAGACCTTATTGATCCTGGTGGGCTTTGCGACGTGGGAAAGGAAAGACCTACTACAGCAAGCATTCGCACTCAGAGGCCTTTTGGTACAAACGCTTCGAGATATCGGCCTCAGAGAGGAGGAACCGAGCAGAAACGTTTCAACTTCCAGAGCAGCAATGTGGGACCAATGGGTACAGCACGAGTCGTCCAGGCGTACCAAGCTCGTAGCATTCTGTTATATCAATGTGCATAGCATCGCATACAACATTCACCCCTTGCTTTGGAGCAGCGAGCTTCATCTGCGATTGCCTTGCTGCACCCCTGTGTGGCAAGCCAGTAGCGCTGCACAATGGTCCGCGCTACAGCGGGATGGGCGAGAAGACCATATGCCCTTCCAACAAGCATTGTCGATACTTCTGCAAGGCACCGCAAACCAAGGTCAGCTACCCAAGCAATGGCTTCTCATTGGTAGTCAGAGGTCGACTGACATATTTCAGAACTCGTACATCCGATACCAAGTCCAATCGGAAACTACATCCTTCTTCATGCGTTGCTTCAGCGGATTCACGTAGTACGAGAACTTTCTTTTCCCGCCACCTCACCTGCCACAATATCAGCTACAGAGCTGCATGTAATCAGTCGTGCTCTCCGGGCGTGGACATCGCTTTGGCAGCAAACTCCGGAATCTATGCTTGATCCTAACAACGAGAGTGGGCCCATCCCATTCACATCAAGCGCACTATTGGTGGTGGCTTACGTGCGCCTATCACTAGATATCGGACCTTACCGTCACCTAGAGTCGCGCAGTGCTGAGGTCATAGCTGACGGTCTAGCAAACGTTCCAGATATTGAGCGCAATGATAACCTACTATCGGCTCTATTGTACTCGACACATGCGCTCAGTATACCTGTCAGATTGGGAATTGACAGAGTTGCGCGAAGCCAAGCGTTCTTTTGGAGCGTTCAGCATGCCATATCCAGCTTCGAGTGTGCTATATTTCTTGGTAAATGGTTATGCTCCATCCCGAGGCCATTCCGAGAGGATTTGCTGTCGCGGTCAGAGCATCGCATTCTTCACTGGGTCCGGTGCATCATCAAAGAAGCGTATGCGGTGATCGACTTCGACGAGGTTGAAGAGAGCGACAGCATCCTAACTGTACCCAGTGAGCCCTACACGCTTGGTCTTGCTGTCCTGAATATCTGGTCACGATTCTTCCGTGGTAATACACAATGGCAGTTTGTTGTTAACTTAGGATTGAGCTTAGAGAAATATATTGCAAAGCTTGTTTAGCCTACGGATCTAATCCTTCGTCCTATGATTCACGAGTTTCACGGCTTAGTTATCACAGAGTCAATAAACATTCGATCCTTCGTGGGTATAAGAAGATATACCGAATCATCAAATGTGAACTGAGCTTTATCATAGAGTATGCTTCTAGGAAGACTACACAACACACACCCTTTCTTTGTCTCACTTCCTACAGCCTACAGCTCTCTAGACCTTATTGTTGTGAATCTTCTCATCCTCAGCCTTGACCGTATCCATGACCTCTTCGTTTCCATCGGCGAAGGCTTTATCCCCAAATGCCATCGCAATCTCCTCCAGCGAATGGTTCGCCGTCTCTACATAGTAGAAGTGAGCAAGGCCTGCTGAGAAGAGGCAGAAGCCCGCGATAACGAGGTAGAAGTATCCACTAATACCCGCAAAAGCGTCAGGTGAAACCATGCCAATGATGAAGTTGAAGATCCAGTTGGACGTAGTAGCAAGCGCCATACCCTTGCTGCGGCCTCGAAGCGGGAAAATTTCAGCAGGCAGCAACCATGGCATTGGACCCCAAGTAAATCCGTAGACGATGTTGTAAAGCATGATAAAAGCGTACTGGCCATTAGCTCGGGTCATTATGGGCATCGAGGCTTCCGTGAAAGCACAGACGACGCCGAGTAATGCCGCCATCAAAACACCACCGAGGATGAGGAGGGGCTTGCGTCCCCATCTATCAGCTAGCCACCATGTAACGACGGTAGCTGCTGTGTAAGGGATGGCATTTGCAGCGGTATAGAGAAGAGACCTCTCATCGGAGAAGCCGGCACTGGCGAGCGTTGAAGGTAGGTAGAACGAAATGATGTTTATACCGTTTAGCTATAGATGTGAAGATGCGAAGTCAGTGTATATCTCACATGCATTTCGTACAGTCATAACTCACCTGAGCAAACATTTGGACGGTGACACCGACAATGGTGCGCTTACGGTATCGAGTAAACATTTCCTATGGCAAAAGTACGTTAGCGTCTATCAAAAAGAGATGAGCTCAATGTGGAAAAGGTGACTCACTATCCAACCGGCTTTGCCAAGTTCAGCTTCGTAAACGACGGCCTCCTGGATTTCGAAGAAGGTCTGTTGAACATGCGGAGCGTCGGTGTCGCCGCTCGAGTGAAGATCTGCGACTGTCTGAAGGCTTTCTTGCATGAATCCGTTGTTGGCTAACCATCTTGGAGTTTCCGGGAGGAAGAACGACATGACTACCAGGATGAAGGACAGGATGATCTGGATAATGAATGGGCCTTGCCAACTCATGTTGTCCGGAAGCATGAAGTGAAAACCGTAGTCAACCCAGCAAGACAACATGTAACCAGCGATTAGGCATGTGTATTCGATGCCAACCATGAGGCCTCGAGCGTGGGGTGCCGCAATTTCGGTTTGGATGATGGGGACTGTCATGGAGAGAAAGCCTACTCCAAAGCCTTGGATCGTTCGTCCGACGACGAAAGTTGCGAAGCCTGGAGCAAAGATTTGGATAAAGGCAGAGAAGAAATATATCAGACCACCGAGACGAACAGTCCTCTTGCGACCGATCATGTCACCAAGACGTCCAGCGATGAGAGCGCCCACGGCGGCGGAAGCTTGCAGGCAAGCGACGGATATCCCCGTGATAGAAGGGTTGACTGCTGCCGTGCTACCATCTGCACCACCATATTCGCTGAAGAAGCGCCTGACGAATACCGGGTTGACCAGCAAGCCAGACATGATGCCTAGCAGAGTCAGTATTTTTCCACAACATACATATATATTCATACGTACCAGAGTTGTAACCGAACAAAGCATCACCAAGACTACCGAAGCCACATGTTGCGAACAACAAGGCCTTTCCTTTGATCGGGTATCTGGCAGTAATCTTCTTCGGCTTCAGCTTGCTTTCGAGCCAGCCTTGTTCAGCCGCAACTTGACCAGCAATCTGGGAGGCGCGCTGCTGGATGTTGGCACTCCGGCTGGCGACCGAGTTGCTACGGGTAGCCATGTTGAAGAGAGTGAAGAGCAAGACAGGCGTAGAGGAATAGTGTCTGTTCTCGAAGACGCGGAGAAGATGCTGTTGAGTGATGGAGAAATCTGGGGAAGCATGACAACTTTATCAACCCCAGATTCTCGCTGTCAAAAGCGCTTGACATGATCGTGTATAGTCAAGTCCTGTCACGGTTCCGGTCCCAAGGTTGGCCCTGCAGCGAAGGAATTTGGTCGGCGTGCACTAATGTGTCACTCGAATAGTCGATCTGCGCTCATCCGCTGTGGTCCTGGTGCGCCAACCAATCAGAAGCGTTCTGGCTAAGAGCCGCGGAACCGATGCTGGGTAGCAAAATGGCCCGACTGGTATGCGCATCCGAAAGTCAGCAACGTGCATGACCCGCCGGAACCGAAACGCGCTCGCGCTCGTTGTCGGACACCAACACTTGACCAGGATATAATCTGGGGGACATAATGGAGAAAATACGCCGCAAACACTCCCGTAAATTATGTCTCGAATCCTGATTTCCTCAGCCGACGTCTACGATTCCAACATCGCTCTCACACAGGATATGTCCTTGGCATCGTCTTCAGAGAATCCAACTACAGCACCGATCAACAAGACTTTCGTCCTGAGCCCTACGAAGCAGTTTTCATACGAAGATCGGCCAATTCCAGAGCTTCGAACACCAAGGCATGTTCGCGTGAGAATTGTAGCTATTGGCCTTTGTGGTTCTGACGTACGCAATCTTTCCTGGTATATTGTACTGCATTGACTAACGTTGATGGCTACCCAGGTACACTACTGGCAGCATGGACGCATAGGGCGATATGTCGTTGATTCTCCCATTACGCTTGGCCATGAGTCTGCAGGCATCGTCGAGGCCTGTGGAGAAGATGTCAAAGGATTATCTGTAGGCGATCGAGTCGCACTAGAACCAGGTGTAGGTTGCAACACATGCGAGACATGTCGCGGCGGCCGCTACAACCTTTGCGAGTCGATGCAGTTCGCTGCTACCCCGCCCTACAATGGCACCTTATCGACTTTCTACTGTCTACCCGAAGAATGCTGCTATAAGCTGCCGTCGCACATATCGTTCCGTGAGGGTGCCTTGGTTGAGCCATTGAGTATAGCTGTACATTGCTGTGGACTCGCCGGAAACTTGCAGGGTAAATCTGTCGCAGTCTTTGGGGCTGGGCCTATAGGCTTGTTGTGCTGTACCGTGGCGCAAGCTTTTGGTGCCGTGAAGGTCATCGTAATAGATGCCGTAGCCACCAGACTGGCATTTGCGACAGACTTCGGCGCGGATGACACATATATGATGGAAGCTGCATCTGCAGAAACCAATGCTCAAAAAATTTCAGAGAAAGCTAGACTGGTCGCAGGTTTTGATGTTGTGGTGGACGCAACAGGAGCAGAGCCATGTATCAACTGCGGTGTAGCCGCTTTGAAACGCGGTGGAATATTCGTTCAAGCCGGGCTCGGGTCTCCAAGCATCGCGTTCCCTATCGGTCAGATATGCGACAAAGAGGCTACTCTCAAAGGGAGCTTTCGATATGGACCAGGAGACTATAAGCTTGCCATTCAGCTGTTGGAGTCTAAGCGCGTTCGACTAGATAGTCTCATAACTCATGAATTCGCCTTCTCGGACGCCGAGGGAGCTTTTGCCAATGTTGCGAACAGAGTCGGCATTAAGTCGCTTATATATGGGCCTGGTATCGATAGGACATTTGCGGAGAGCTGCACCGAGCATATCAGACAGATGTCTGATCTTCCAAAGCTGTAATTTATGATGTGCCGAACACATATCGCGCTGATGTATATATCTCTTTCCAGAACAATGGACGCCCGGCGCAGACTGTTCGCGATGTGACCGCTACAGCGGAGGCTCATTCCAGACAGAATCCCAGAACCAATATAATCCGTTGCCAGTGACATCAACATTATTGTCATCGCTGATCCAATCTGACTCTCCTTCCAGATTGAAGTCCTGTGTGCCGGCGTTTGACCAATCTACATTGTGTCCGCTAGGTAAGTGACCCGTATCACCGTTGTTGGCAGCCCATTGCTGGACGTCAGCGGTGTCATCACGATACGTACCATCGAGACCCGTAGGAAAAACTAGGTAGAGCATAGCATCAGCACGCTTCGTAGTTCGTCGGAAATGCATAAAGAACAACTCACCTCTCTGCACTGATGCCATGCTTTCGTGGACGCGTTGCATTCTGTCCACTGTATTGTGTTGCGGTCTATGATGTCCATTTGATGGCAGCTGCGTCGGCAGACGAAGGGTGTCTTCGACAGACATCAATGCCGTCCCTGCATGCGATCTTGAGATGTCGCTCTCGCCAAATATAGCATCTGCTTCCCTACGCAACAGCATCTGGATGACGTCTCTAAGAACCAAATTGCTCTGCATTGAAAGCTGTGTCTTCTTGCCAAGTAGTTCTTGTAATCGAAATATCCGCGTAATGGTCCTCTTTACTTCTTGTGCTCTGTCTGAAAGTGGATCTGACAATGCTAACACAGCCATGACAATAGCGGAATTGAATAGATTGATAGCCAAGAAAGCTACCAGGTGACTATCAGTGGCTAGCTGAGAAAGCCGCGGTAATTCGGTGACCTTTGACGTTCTCAACGCCGCGTGCCACCACTGCTCGGTGCTCGACATATGGCTTGTATTTAGCGGGCTGGACTCATGGGCTGTAAGGAACGGTGATCCAGTGTTCGTAAGGCTTGCTGGTGATAATGCGACACCATGGCCACTTTCCGGTTGCGTCCTGATGAGATGGTCCACTTGTTTCGCGATCAACGGGCGATTGAAGATAATCAGTAGGTTGTCAAACGTAAGCTGAAGAGATAATGCCTGCATCTGGTGTACGCGCGTAGTGCGAGACTGGTCAATACTACAGTCGGAGGCCATATCAAGTAGAAGATGAGGCGGTAAATGCCGGCGCCACGCCCAAAGCTTTTCCGTCACTTCTAAGATCTGATCAGTGTACTGCGGCCCACTAGGTCGTTCATTGGGTCCCACAGCGCGCATTCCGAAGATAATCTCGATAATAGGTGACGCAATGAGGTAAAGTTTGTTGAGCTCTCGTTGGTAGGACGAGTAGCATATCGTCAAATCGGCTTCTGGAGGACCTCCTGGCTTGAAGTATGGCGACTCGCATATGTCAATTGGATGGTTTGTATTACAGTCCTTCTCGTTAATACCAATAGGCCGGCCGTAAGTGATGGAAGCGAATCTGTCCCATGTGTATATAGTCCACCAAACTCTTTTCCTCTCCTCGATAGAGTGAGAGTCACCTCGTAGCGGCTGGCGATGAAGGCCAATCGATTGCGCCGTTCGAATGGTTGCACCTAGTAACGCAAAAGATAAGTTAGGTTTGCCATGGTAGACATAGTAAGAGCCAAGCAGGATGCACGTCTGAACCGATGAAATCGTACTTTGGTCCATCAGTTCAGTGAGTTGAGAACCCGCGCCTTGGATGAGTGATTGCGACCAAGCGTACCAATCTTCGTCCGGAAAGTCCAGGTCCGTGTCTTTCTTGTGAGATTTGTACCATGCTCCCATACCAATAACAGTGGATAGGAGAAGAAGAAACGACTTTTGTGAGGGATATGCATGACCATCCTTGATTGATTCGAACTTTGCGCGAAATCTTGGCTCGTAGATGACCAAGCTGAACCAATGGACCGAGTCAAAATACTCTTCTAACAGCGCGCGCATCATGTCGGTGGGTGGTAAAGGGTGGCCAAGGATAGCCACTATGCTTTTCCTTTGGATACGATCTAATCGAGGTGCCGGGGCTCTGCCATATACGTCACCACCCGGTATGGCTGATGTTGTCCGCTTCAATGTTGGCTGGCTTCCCAGTCGGTAGATTTGGTGAGCAATATCCATGGCTGAGTTAGCTTCGCCCTCTGCCATACTGGCACGTCTGCTCTCATCGCGACTGTTGATTTCCGTGTCTATCGTCTGATGCGCATCGTCATGGTTCTGCATCGGAGCTGGCGGTTGCTCGCGTGAACCTTCACGGGAAGGACCCCGGGTGCGTTTTCTTTTCGGTGCGCGGGGTGGCACCTCAACATTGCTTACGATACATTCGACATTTGCTCGAATGCAGAGCGCGCAAGGACGAGATATGTCGCACTTCGATTTACTCAGTCCATGGCGCGCGTGACAGGCTGTGGGAGGGCGGAACTAACTCGGCTCTTGTTGCGACGACACCTCTCACACGCGTTGCTAACTCTGGTGGGTAGCTGGCGCCCAGCAGAAGCATCGAGAGTCGCCGAAGACATCGTTTGCGCGTCGCCATGCGTAAAGTCACAATGGAAAATGCAAAGGCACGCGCGATACACGCCAAATCAGCCGCAGGACTTCGCCGAGGTTCGCACGGTTGTGCCGCTTGGACCTAAAATCTCAAGCCACTCCCAGCCACCGCCATCGTTTCCATTACGATCTCCTTGCACAATCTTGTCACGTAAGGCATACAACCCGTATGCTGGACATAGGTTTAGATGCAATGAACAAAGTTTGCAGACAGCTTTGGCGTATAACCTGATTATCACCGCTTCCGTCCTCATGTAACAAGATCACTGCTTTCAACAACCATATCAGATCAGTACGAACAGTCACCAAATACACCACTCGACTTGATCTTTGACGTCACTAAGCACGGTTGCACTCATGGAACATAATCAGGATAGGTACTCGCCATCCGATGTCTCCCTGGAGGAACACCGACCTTCGAAGCGACAACGAACATTGGGACAGCCTGCTCGCGAAGTTGGCCTGATGCGCAGCGTTCCAGATGATCAATATCCAGGTTTTGTCGGCAGCGCCAGTGGAATCTTCTTCATCAGGTCGGTGTATAGTGCGATCCGGCCGTCCACAGTGCCTACAGGTACTACCGCAGAAACGCCTGGGAGCGATATCGTGCCGGGTGAAGATGATCATCTACCTCTAGTGCAGCCCAACTCTTCTGAGCGATTATGGCGAGACGCTGAAATTGCGTTCAGCCAGACACCTCGCATATCATTTCAAGACCTGGTCACATTTTCTGGGAGCTATTTCGCCAATTGGCATACGCTCTACCCCTTCCTACACGCGCCGACTATGTTAGAGTACTTCGACTGCTATGCAAAGAACGGCTTTCCTGAACATGATACTTCGGAAGAGCTTGATCTGGTGATAGTTCGATCGATCATGTCCATCTCGCTTGCAGACCATCGACAATCCTCTGGGCATGGATGTATTCAATACCCTGCCTGTATCGTCTTTCCGTCATACGATGCCGCTGTCGATAGCCTTCGAGCGATTCTTTCACGTCCCACAAGCATACTCACGCTGCAGGCCGCTCTGAGTGTGCAGCTCTTTCTAGTGTCCATGCTCCGCTTGAACGCAGCCTCACGCATCGGAGGGCTCATCATGCGCATGGCCGTGCAGTTAGGCCTTCATCGCTGCCCAGCTAGGTTTTCAGCTTTCACGACAAGTGCAAGAGAACTTCGGCAACGTGTATTTTGGTCACTGTATGCCATCGATCGGTTCATTTCCCAGTCCATGGGCCTACCGCTCGGCCTGCACGATGACGATATCGACGTATGCTTCCCATTAGCAGAACACCACCCACAGACGCATATTGAGCCTTGTAAGTTTGGTCATGGTGTGGTGATGGTCTAGCTCATATCTCACAGGCATCAAACTTCGTCTGCTGCATCTTCAAGCGCAGCAAGCTAGGTTACGCGGCGAAATTATAGAATTGCGCAACAAGTCGTTACACTACGTTCAGAACGATCCCGATAGAGCGACCTCGATCATAGCCAAGCTAAGCCAGTGGTGGAATGATGTTGAGGACTATATCGATCCGGACAGCCAATCTGGAGCTTCTACCTACGCGATCACTGTCTTGACACTGCTTAGACACGAGTCGATCATCTCGTTGTATCGCCCAGTCTTGGCCACCTCTCGCAAAGACGTCGCATACGACGCTGCCTTACAACAGTGCATCAATTCTGCGCGTAGCATCATCACCACTTTACACAGCGCCATCCAGACCAAGTCTAGTATCGGAACGATTCATAATCCACTAGCTTTGTTGTGGCCCTCTTGCACATGGGCTGTATGGATCAGTACATTCATCATGTTTTACGCTGCTCACGAGAGCCGTATCGCCCATACTGTTGTCGTGAGGTAAATGGGTCACGTTCAAAATGGTCTATTCCTGCTGACGCATGCAACAAAGATTCGCAGACAAAAGCCTCGACATACTTCAACATCTTGGGCGACGCGGCAGCACATGGCCTGAAGCAAGCTCGGCTGCCATTCGTGACTTACGAGCTCGAATACTACACAAGCCTATCCAAGCTTTTGCTGGGCATAGGCCAAACGTCTCTGGAGACCCTTCCATCATTCATCAAAGCGAGTCGAGCCTACGTTCGGTCTTGCACGAACCTGCCAGTAAAGACGCTCCAGATCAAAATGATGGTCAAGTGGTCAATGGCGTTGTGCATCACCACGATACATGGGACAAGCCATCCAATTCAGTATTTGAATCTACCGCAACGAGCAATCCAGCTCAAGATAGTACTGCTTTTGGTGAGAGTGATAGCTATTGGAATGTCTTCCTCGGAGCAGAAGGTGCCGACGCCTCATCTCTTGAGTACTCTAGTGGCTTGGACCCGTTCTCTGGTTTCGACATACCTTTTTGGTTTGACCAAGGACAGCACTGGGATTTCTGAAGGTAGCAAGCTTCGATGTCAGTGGGTGCTGCGCGCAGTGGAAATCGGTAACGAAGCCTCGGACTTTCTTTCTCCGTCTCTCCCCGCACTTACCCAAATCGAGCACACCAATGGCGGGACCAGCCGCAGCAGCGCAGCACAGGAAATACAAGCAGTCTGAAGATGGTGTTTCTTAGTCCGAGTATTGCGGCTTAAAAGACAGTACACTTAGTGGCGAAAGATACCAATTCAGTTATTCACGGTTGCCACGCCCATTCTCAATCCTTGCTTTCAGCTCGTCAACAACATGTCTTCAGACGCCAACAAACGCACACACTCTATTGCGACTATGGGCGCTGATGGTATTGGCCCTGAAGTTGTCAATGCCGGCGTTCAAGTCTTGAAGAAATTGGCACAACTAGATGGCACATTCAACCTGCAATTCGAAGACTACGATTGGAGTTCTGAGACCTACAAGAAGACTGGTCAATACATTCCGGATGGAGGATTAGAAAAGCTCAAGAAGCATGATGCCATTTTATTTGGTGCTGTAGGCGCGCCAGGTACGTTACGAGGTACTGAGCTTCGCATATTCATAAGCTAAATGTGTTAATAGACGTGCCTGATCACATTTCCCTTTGGGGCTTGCGGCTTGCTATCTGCCAGACTTTCCAGCAGTATGCGAATGTTCGGCCGACCAAGATTTTCCGAGGAACATCGTCGCCCTTGCGCAATGCGGAGCATGGTGATCTGGATTGGGTAATCGTCCGAGAAAATTCTGAAGGTGAGTACGCTGGACAAGGAGGCCGATCGCACAAAGGCCAAAAATGGGAGACGGCTACAGAGGTTTCCATCTTTACTCGTCATGGCGTGGAACGACTTATACGCTTCGCCTTCGAAACAGCTCAGAGCAGACCAAGAAAACAGATAACAGTGGTCACCAAGAGTAACGCGCAACGTAACGGCATGGTTATGTGGGACGAGATTGCAGCTGAAGTTGCGAAAGACTTCCCCGACGTCAAGTGCGATAAAATGCTCGTCGACGCCATGACGTGCCGGATGGTTCTTGACCCAAAATCGTTAGATACGATAGTAGCGACGAACTTGGTGAGTAACACAATATGTGTCCTCGTCACGGTTTACTGACTTGACAAGCACGCGGATATTCTTTCCGACCTGGCAGCCGCATTGGCAGGTTCCATCGGCATCGCTCCTACCAGCAACCGTACGTACTTTCCTATCTCACAAGCAAGGCACCCTGCTTATACTAAGTGGTAACAGTCGATCCCACACGCCAAAACCCGTCCATGTTCGAACCAATCCACGGCTCAGCTTTCGACATTACTGGCAAGGGTGTCGCAAACCCGGTGGGAACCTTTTGGACAGCATCTGAAATGCTAGCATGGCTAGGCGAGGAGCAAGCTGCGAAGAGATTAATGGAGAGCGTGGAAGCCATCACTGAGCGAGGCATTGCGACTCGCGATCTTGGGGGCAAAGCGTCAACAAAGGAGGTGACCGATGCGGTCTGCGCTGAGCTAGAGAGCATGTACAGTACAAGTCAGTAGAAGCCAAAATCGGCATGATGTTATGGAAACGATAGCCGCAGGTGGAGCTGTATCCCGGTCATTATCCGATACGGAACTTGATTTGCGGCTGATGCAGTTTCGCTTCAGGCTGACACCGTAATAAACGGACGATCACTAGAACACGAAGTCATGTACTGTCTGTTTATACAACCACTGGTATATTTCCATTGCTCTGCTTTCTATATGCATGATCGGTAACTTCAAGGAAGGCATGCAAATATACTCAGGGAGTAGTCAGAACCTAATGGCAGAGCCGCTGTAGATCTCGTCTTCTTCTCGAGGTCCTGATCCAGGACAGGAAAGATTTACCAGCATCTCCATCGGCGTTATCGCGCCGAACCATGCTTGTCGTCTGCGACATGAGGTAGTGGATACATGCGCGACCAACCCAAAGCTAACCCCCGCATCCTTCCCCGCACACCACGACTCAATTATCCATGGCCCAAAACAACTGCCGTGGGATGGCGCATCCCCCACATTATAGTGCCCGTTGCATCCAGCACTTTAGGATCGCATCTTCCATCTATCTGCTGCAGAATCTAGATTGTGCATCGTCCAATTCATCGTCGCTACCGTAGCCAGATACGCGAAGATTGAGCGACCATGCCTCTGGGTATCTTGCAGGATTACAAGCTCGAACATGTCCCGGGAACCGCCCCTCTGAGCGAGCTTGGTCGTATTGATCTTGAGATCTCGACTGATGTTGACCGTGGACTGCTCAAGCATGATGCTACAGGGCAGATTGTACTCGTGCCGCAACCCTCTGATTCACCCAACGATCCGTATAATTGGCCAAGATGGAAGAAAGAGATGGTAGGTTGAACTTTTTGAGACCGATTGGGATGCCTGTACTGACCTGATAGTTTACCCTCGTCATTGCGTACGGATGCGGTTGTGTAGGAGGTAAGCTTGCGAACTCTGGGCACCATGTACTGAGCTAATGGTGCATTTCGCAGCCGTCGGCCCACTGCTAACGCCGGCTTTCGTACCACTGGCACAACAATTCAACGTCCCTCTACAGAGATTTACACTAGGTGAGCTCGATGCCTCATAGTTCCATCATTGGAGCATCAAGCTAACACATGATCCCTTCAAAGGCTGTAATGGTTCTTGTATCGTCGCCATCGCATTTGGGAGTCTTCTGTGCAACACACTAGCTGTGAAGGTCGGAAGACGACCAGTCTATCTTATAACCACGCTGGGTTTGGCGGTGTCGTGCTTCTGGGCTGCAGAATCTACCAGCTTCCCTTCTCTGGCAGCGGCCAGAGCTATCCAAGGGTTGTGCATGGGTATGTTCATTCCACATATGGTCAAGGAGAACTTTACTGACGTCCAAAGCACCCTTCGAGGCACTCATTCCAGCATCAGTCGGAGACATCTGGCATGTACACGAGCGCGGGTTCCGAATGTCCATCTTCAATCTCGGTGTCCTCGGTGGTATCGTAAGTTACTTGGCGCCTGCTGCATTACAGCTAGCTAACATATTCCGCAGAACCTAGCGAGCCCAATCGGTGAGGCACAACAGCAAGATTTCGCGTTCTGAAGCTAACAAGCCCAGCTGGATCCGTCATCCAATACGGCTCTTACCGCATCGCAATGCACGCGATGGGTGGTGCCTTTGTTGTCATGCTCCTCCTCGTCATCTTCTTCATGCCCGAATCCGCGTACCACCGCCACAACGTTCTCAACATCGATACGAGTTCTAAAACGGTAGAGACCGATGCGATGGAGAAGGAGAAGGCCATTGAGCGTATCGAAGACCACGCGATCCAAGCATCCGTCTCTTCGGAGCGTGCCGACCCCTACGTCAAGACTCTTATGCCATGGTCTGGTTATTGGGATCATGTCTCCTTTTGGCGCACATTCTTGCGTCCTTTTGTTGTGATCATGAGCCCTGTAGTCATGTGGGCTACCTTGCTCTTCACGATCTGCATATCTTGGCTTGTCTTGATCTCTATCACGCTGTCGCAGATCTTCTCCGCTCCACCATACAGCTTCTCCGTTAGTGCTGTCGGCGCAACGAATGTCTCTTCATTCGTAGCGTCGTTACTGGCCACGCTGGTAGCCGGACCGATCATCGATGGAGTAGCAAAGTTCATGTCGACGCGCAACAACGGTACTTTTGGTGAGTCCTCTCCATTCGAATTGTGGTCTCAGCCGACTAACAGTTCTACAAGAACCCGAGTTTCGTCTTCCTGTGATGATCACGTACCTGATTTTCACTGCGACCGGATTCTTTGCCTGGGGCCAATCGCTCTACAATCAAGACCCGTGGCCGATTCCCGTCATTGTCTGCATGGGCCTCATTAACCTAGGTGTCCAGTTGGGAACCACCGCCGTGGTAACCTACGTCTCCGACTGCCATCGCGAGCAGGCCGCCGAGGCCTTTGCCATTATGAACTTCATCAAGAATCTCTTTGCATTTGGCTTGACGTTCTATGCCAATGACTGGATCGCGGTACAGGGTGTGAGAGACGCGTTTTATGTTATTGGCGGAACTACCATTGCTGTCACGCTGGCAACGATTCCAATGTACATCTACGGAAAACGTGCAAGGAGTTGGGTGAAGAGGTGTGGAGTGCTTGATAGTGTTCTGAAAGTCGAGTAGAGGGTTTAACCGCGCAATGAAGATCGGTTCGCGTTTTTGCTTGACCTTCCCCGCTGTGAAGTCTGTTCTCTAGAGCGCCCTCGAAACATCTTATATCAGCACTTACGCAAAGCGTTTACGGCGTCGTGTTGCCAATGCTAGGTTATTCTCACTTCGTGCATAAACAATCTCCTTGGCGACTTTCGGCTGTTCTTTCTCCGTATATGGACAGCAAGCAGCAAGCGGAGCTGCTACTGATTGCCAGCAATACGATATGTTCTGCGTTCGACTCGTATGATGACGAACCGATAGACCGCTCGACCCTTTTGTTTCAGTATGAACCTGTGCCGAACATTTTCAGTTGATGTTCAGAAGTAGTTCTCTTGCCATTGTGTAGAGGAGTCTCGCGGTACGTTCGGCATTGTCGGTTTGCTGCAGTCTCGTAGTTGCTCGATGGGTGACGCTGAGGTCGCTGTGGTTCGGCGGGTTTCGAGAAATGGATGCGTGTTATTATCGGGTCGCGTTTCCGGTGCCTTGAGCGTATCATGAGTTTGGTAGGTAAGAAGGGTATCGCTAGATTTTGATTGAGATGCCGCTTGAGCTGCACTGTCAGGATGCCGTGCTTGGAGCCATGCTGCCAATTGTTCGTCGGTTTGTAAAGGCAACCGCTTCCACTCGTCGAGCTTTTCGGCCTTTGAGCGTTGAGGCTGCGAAGCTTGCGATATTGCGCCCGACAAGTGCCCGTCCGTCAATCGTGTTGCGTTCTGAGTTTGGAGCGCGATGAGAGAAGCGGAGAGTGCAGCCTCGGTATCCGCAAGCCGTTTCTCAAGAGCAGTGATGTATGCAGCCGGAAGCCCTCTCTTGCCGCCCTCTTGGTAATGGCATAGCAGCGATGAAGTTCGACATTGAGTGCATATTGGGCTGAGGTCGTTAGCTGAAGCTCCACAGCTGGTATGTAAGTTACCGACATCTTCCGGTCACATTTGCACTTCTTCGATCTGCAGTTCTCACATGCGATAGCATTCAGCTGCACCTCCAAAATGCGATATCAGTGTGTGTACCATCATGTCGGACAAGTTTGCGCACCGCTTCAGTCATCTTGGGATGATGGGTGATGCGATGACGCAGTGCAGAGCTTCAGAAGGTGTGGCTTGGTGATCTGTGCTCGGCCCCTAATTCTGCCTGCGTCCAGCCCCCTTCTCGTTCCGAGTAAACAGCTACTTCGCAGCTTGCGACCGTATACAGGAGAAACACAGCTACGCTGTTAGGCAATCACAACACCGTCTCGTCTGGCTACAATCATTTGCGCTTCTACTGCGACTTTTGAACCAGCCGATGAAGGACATAACACTTCGACTCACATCCGGACGTTTGACTGCGGACCCTGAACCAGCCTCCATCACGACCCATCGATAGACCAGAGGTGAGGATCGACTGACAAAGCTGCAAAGTTCGATAATACCAGACAACGTGTGGACGATCCGGCAGAAGAAATTCCCCGCATTCAACCTTACCTTTTGTACCTCGGACCGCGCTGAATGCAGCTAGCGGCGAGGTGTATGTCGGGCGTCGGGTCATTTGTATCCAGCCTTGTACACACATCTACATGCACGAATCGGACGCTGAACCCGGTTTTGCAAGATGATGGATCCTGTCGTGATACGATATTTATCCGTGTTGCTAAGGGCGTAGTCATTGCATATCCAACCAGAGAGTGACCAAACTTGGCAACTGTACGCTATCTCAGAGAGGCATCTGTATCTGATGTGATCAACGGTCATGCTTCATGGTGAAGGATGCGATCAACCATATCGTCGGGCACGAACCCCGCAAAGCCAAGGAGAAGGGATACTGGATATGCATTCCCTAGTCGGTTCGACGGTCTGTTGAACCGACGAAGTGCTTGGCTTCCAGTATGTAAACTGCGAAAGTGGCATACTACAAATCAAACCAGAGCACCACGAACTTGAATAATCACTTTCTCAGATAACTATGGCACCAGCAGTTGCAGGCCCTGGTGATGGTATCATTGAGCGCGTGGTCGCTGCCGATAAAGTACGTTGGTGGAACAAACCCAATCTCCGGCGTCTCTACCTCCTCTTGGTACCGTTCTGCTTTTTCATTGAGTCTACCTCTGGATTTGATAGCTCAATGATGAACGGAAGTAAGTAGTGTTCACTGAGGTGTTACCAGTGGAACGTGTGCTGATCCTTTATCCGCTACCTAGTGCAAGCTCTCGACTACTGGCAAGAATACTTCAACCATCCCAAAGGAGGGCAACTGGGTTTGCTAGTTGCATGCTACAACCTCGGAGCTATCTCGAGTATCCCACTCGTTTCTCTTGTTTCAGATCATCTTGGAAGGCGGAAGAGTATCGTCCTTGGATCTACTATCATGATCATCGGAGCAGTCATGCAGGGCTTGTCGCAAAATCGTGAGTACACCAGTCCCTGTCAAGGTGAATGGAAGAGCGATCTCTAACTTTTGCTTACTCAGTTCCGATGTTTATCTTCAGTAGAATCTTTTTAGGTCACGGTATCGTTTACGCCATCATATCCGGTGCCGCCCTTCTTGGCGAGTTAGGTCATCCCAAAGAACGTCAGTTCTTGGGAAGCCTTTTCAACGCATTCTTTGGAGTAGGTTCCGTACTTGGTGCTGGTATAGGTAGGACATGTTACCCTTTAAGGCGTGTGTAAAAAATGTACTGATTTTGGCTACCAAATTCTAGTCGTACGTACGCTACTCATTCCGAGCGACTGGTCTTGGCGCCTTCCCTCCATCCTTCAAGCTGTTCCATCTATCATTCAGGTTGTGTTCGCTTTTACGGTACCAGAAAGTCCCCGATGGCTCGTCTCGAAAGACCGCAGTGAAGAAGCTCTCGAGATATTGATCAAGTATCATGCAGAGGGCGATGCTTCCGCTGAGCTACCTCACCTTGAAATTGCCGAGATTCGCAAAGCTTTGGAGTTGGAAAACGAGTCGCGACAACGTGGCTGGGCTGAACTCTTCCAATCGAAAGGCATGCGACATCGCGCCCTTGTCGCCGCTGGACTTGGCGTCTTTGTCCAGTATAGGCAAGTTATGACTGTGTGAAATACATGTGAAACATACACTGACTTCGTATCTCCACACCTGTAGTGGTAACAATCTCATCAGCCAATACCTCGTTCCTATTCTGGAAAAGATCGGTATCGAAGACAGCCACACCCAAGTGCGCTACAACGTCGGCTCCGAGGCGTGGGGCTTCCTCATGGCTCTTGTCATGGCGACCATCACACCTCGATATCCACGACGCAGGATGTATTTACTGTGTGCTAGCTGCTTGTTATGCGTATACACCGCTTGGACTATCGCACAGGCCCGTAACCGAATGACTGGATCAAAGGAAACTGGCTACGCTGTGCTTGTCATGATCTTCCTCTACAAGCCCGCATACAACATCGCTTACAATGCTCTCACCTACGTCTACATGGTTGAGATCTTCCCGTACTATGTGCGTACCAAAGGCCTTTCGTGGTTCCAGCTCTTCAACCGCTGCTCCGTCATGCTGGGTTCCTTCACCAACCCTATCGGACTCCAGGACCTTGACTGGAAGTTCCTCTTCGTGTATATTGCTTTATTGTCTTGCGAGATCGTCTTCATCTACTTCCTGTTCCCGGAGACATACGGAAAGACGTTGGAAGAACTCACGTTCCTGTTCGAAAGTGAGAAGGAAGACCGCGAGGCGCTCGCTGCAACCACTGCCAAGGTGATGGGCCAGGAAGGCAACGTCACTGAGCTTCACGAGGCGCCGGAGAAGAAGGCTTAGGTCGCAGATAGAGTGGTGGCTGCATCTAATCTCAACGGTTCTTGGAAAAGCCGTTGCATTTGGCGCTCACGAAGTGGGTTTTGAAGCCGCTTGGGAGGTCGCCGCATTCCTTCAGATGGTTATGAAACATTTGTGGACAAGAATAGTGGGATAAGGCGATGCATAACTTGTGGCTGTTCAAGCATAACTAATTCTTGCTCTTGCTCTGTCTGAGTTGTAGGATAGTGAATTAGTCTTTCCTATACAACTTCACATAAGCTTCTCGTAGTTGTTGTGGCCTACTGTTAAGGGCAAGCGGCTTGCGTATAGTTGATCAAGAAATATCTCATGCCAGCCCGGCATCATGTTTCCCACCGTTGCCTATCCTGCCGGCCCGCTTCACGGCCTAGCATGCGGCGCAGCAACATATCAAACTGGACCTTGTGCTCGTGGCGGCAACATATCGCTCGAGATTCATCATCGCCAGCCCCTCGAATAATTGAATGAGTTGGCAGTTGCGCGAATCTCCACCCGAGATTTGTAAGTTTGTTTCTATGACACGATGCACCCAATAGTTCGTTCTCTCTTACGACCATTTCACCGATCAAGCGACGGCGGCTACAGGATACTGATCTCCGACTGATCGGGACTTGTGGAGAATATCCCGAACGAATGGGAATCTGGCGGCTTTGAAACAACAACAGACGAGCATGATCTTGGCCAGTGAGGTTACACGACGAACGCAGCGAAGCCTCGATTGCCGCGACCCGACAGGCTGGATTTAGCTTGGGCCGGCCCTGGTACACGTGTCAGTAGCTAGGAAACATCGAATGGCATACTGAGCCTCAAGCCACGGTAGTATCAACGTAGTAAGCGAAGTGTTGGATGTAGATGGAAGGCTACGCAATGTGAGACATACCATCATCCTCTCAGCGTACCTACTCAGTCAGGCATGCTTTTCCTTTTTCCTTGGAAAAGCTGCTGTTGTACGTCTGCGTCTATAGCAACAAGCGCCATCACGTGAATCCTGCCTCATGCATGCATGTGTTGTATGCTTTTCACCGAGACTACGAATGCACGATAGAAGCGACGTGGAATATTCGAAAAATAGACGCATGGCTAAATATTCCTCGACGTTGATAGGTCGCTATTAATAAGTGGGGTTATCGGCTCCGCGCCTAACGATAGCGCAACCCCGCTATCGCGACCCCCAAGAAATCCTCGAAACATTGTCGTCTGAACCGTTTCCACAACCACAACCCCGCGCAAGTTCATGCGATAACCTCCGAGGCTGGAAAGATATATCATGATTCGCTCGATCAGCATATCCAACATGTCTCTCCAACCTCCCCATCCTCACATTGGCTACAGTGGCTGATGAGGCTCGAAGCGCTTATACAACTGTGCCTCAACGTCATCCAAAACGTGATTTCATGATGGGGCCAAAACTAAGAATAAGCCTAGCTGCATATGTTTTAATACCACAGCGGCAAAGACATACGCTAGCCAGCCATGCGGCCACACCCAGCGGTTATACTCAAGCTCTGTACGGCTACAACCACGCTGGTGCTCCGGCCTGACAGCTCCCGATACCTGCGCCGCACGCAGGTGTCCTGGAAATGGCCTTCAGCCGCCTCTCTTGGCACGCTTTTTGGGAGGTTGGATCTGGTCCTTGCGGCTAGCTCGTGCCATGAATGGTGGGTTGGCTCGGTAATGCACCGATTTCCAGAACGAAGGCATAGTTTGCATGTACGCCGCAGTAACAACTGTGTTTGATGTTTCGAGCCTACTCCAATCATGGAAGTGGTCTGTGGAGGCTTATACTGCAGCTGAATGTTGTTATAGTATGGTGATGGTAAGTCTCTAGTATCAGCCTACAGCTTCACCACAGTCTGGCACTTCTCTACTACGTTTGAACGAAGCAATATCTCATCTTCTATCGTCCATTTACGTTTTTTAATTCATCTTGCTGCATTCTTGTAATGCCATATCCGATATCTACATCGGGCCACACTCCTGACATGTCTCGACCACAGAAGAGTCCGATGCACTGGCCGACATTTCCGGACATACCGATTTACCTCGATACTGGTGATGAGCGTGCAACAGCAAAAACATACGGTACTACACCCACAACGCCAACAACACCAGATATAGTGCCTCCACACCGCCCGACACACTTGAGTCCGGCACACATCAACGCACCACCAGTAAGCCCAGTTGAACCGAGTCCGACAACCACTATCGAAACTTCTAGCCACCGATCGATGATCTGGCCAATTCCTGAACCTCCACCGGAGATTCAGCAACAGAAAGATATCTGCCGACCAACTCTTCGCTTCTTCCCAACACAGCGCCCGCGTGTACGCCTCGATACCGTGCCCTCACTTCAGATACCACAGCTGGATGAGAAGACTCCCATCAACAATCTTCATCCAGGCCTTGGCATCATAAACGGCCCACCAAAGCCACCCTCTATCGAAGTGTCCGCCCCTGTGGAAGACGTCGAGGACCAGCCGAACATTGCCGAAAGGATTGAGAAACGGTTGTATCAGTACAGCATCTCCGGCAATGTCATCAAGAGATGGCTCTTAGAGTTACTCAGTTGGGTCTTCAGTGCCTTCTGTATGGCCTCGATTATCGGCGTTCTGATATACTTCAAGGACGACCCCCTCTCGAAATGGACACTGGCGGACAGGACTGGAGTGACACTCAACGCATATATCTCTGTGCTTTCCAAAATGGCGGGAGCAGCTTTGATCCTTCCCGTATCTGAAGCTCTTGGCCAACTGAAGTGGAGTTGGTTTCAGCAAAATTCTAAACGGATGTGGGACTTCGAAATCTTCGACAATGCGTCTCGTGGCCCTTGGGGCTCCATGCTGTTGCTTCTACGCACTAAAGGCAAGGCGTTGGCAGCGCTAGGTGCCATGATCACGCTATGCATGATGGCACTCGATCCTTTCTTCCAACAGGTCGTAAACTTCCCTGATCGCTGGGCGTTAGAGGATACCCCAAGCAAAATTCCAAGAACAATCCGATACGATCCTCATGTCGGTGCGGAATACCTAGACGGTTATGAGCAATCTCAAGACGACCCGGATCTATTTCACGTGGTCGAGAAATTCTCATATAGCAATGGCACGCAGCCTGTCCCTTTTGGAAACGGAACACGCCCAGATATCCCCTTAGTGAGTTGAGACCTGTCCTTGGGTTGATAGTACCATACGTCATCAACGATTGACTTTACGGCGTACTTAGCAATGCTTACAGGGTACAAATGCTAACATGTTGCTCAGTCATGCCCTACCAGTAGATGCACGTGGCCTTTGTACGAGACGCTAGGTGTTTGCAGTCAATGCGCTGACGTATCGGAACACCTCACATACGCTTGTTTGAACACCACAATCGACTGGACGGCGAACACACAAGGACTCTTCGATCTGAAAGAGCCATATCCGAACGGAACTATGTGTGGCTACTTCCTGAACGCTACCAGCGAGGCTCCTGTTATGATGTCGGGCTACCTCTTCGATTCAAATGGCTCTGTGAAAGGAGAAGCTCTAGCAACGCGCGCCTTTCCTTTGACAGCGATTACCACCAAGGAGCCACTCTATGGTAACGGTTCCATCTTATTCAAGAATCATCGCAACACCATCGCCGATGTTCTTCTGGTTTCAGCAAGCGAAGGTCTACCAGACACAGTGTATCAGAACATTCGGCCGGTTGCACAGGAGTGTATCCTGGCTTGGTGTGTCCAGACGATCAAATCCTCCTACGATTACGGCAAGTACAAAGAGGAAGTAGTCAAGACTTACCTCAATGACAGCGCGGGTGATTTTCCTTGGCAAGCATTTTCCTACGTCGATGATCTGGGGAACGACGCCACGGACATGTATTATCTGCAAGACATCAACATCAACAATGGGACCACCCCCGATGGCGCAAGTATATCCGGTTACGGAACGTCGAATACCACGGCGATATCGATCATTCAGGGGCTGATTGATATCTTTCCCTCTTACACGACAGTGATGAATAAGTCTGCTGTCCCTGTCATGCGATATAAGACGTGGCAGGCAGGGCCGCCATGGAATCGTCAGCTCGAATACAACCCTTGGCTTGCACCAAACGTTACGAAACACATGGATAGGCTTGCAACCGCGATGACAAACGTCATACGCTCTGCTCCAAGCAACGAGATGATTACTGGACAGTCATTCAGTAGGGAAACGTACATTTCGGTGCGTTGGGAATGGCTCACCTTGCCGATTGGTCTCTTGATGATGAGCTTCATCTTTTTAGCTGCTACAATATTCAAGTCTGCAATCGAGAAAGAACAACTAGGCGTTCTCAAGAACTCAGCCATCCTGACGCTATTGTACGGCGTGTCTGACGATATGCGCACCAAACTCACACGATCCTCGAGTACAGGTACACCTAGAGCGAAAGCAAAAGAGCTCAAGGTCAAACTGAATCCGAATATGGGATGGAGGGTATCGGGAAACCTCTTTTCGCCAGTCGCTCCACGTCCACCTCAACCACCGCCAGGTTGGATCTGAAGTACAATTTGGAAAGGCTTTGGTTGTTGATGAAAGTTATATTAAGAAAGCTACAAGGTTGTTTTAACTCGACAAGTTTCCTCAAGCACCAGTCCGAGGTTGTCTCGTTTTCGGAGTACATTATAACACAGTATGGAATCGAAACAAAAGAGAAATACAACGAGGGTTACTCGGAAATGAAATGAGAACGTCGCTTGGATGTCGCATCAATGGCCACCGGGGGTACTGAACTTGATCGGCTCAGCCTCAGCGTCTCGTCGATGGCCACCAGTGCTACCGAATTTGATACCTCCAGCTTCTCGTCGATGGCCACCGGGGGTACTGAACTTGATCGGCTCAGCCTCAGCGTCTCGTCGATGGCCACCAGTGCTGCCGAATTTGATACCTCCAGCTTCTCGTCGATGGCCACCGGGGGTACTGAACTTGATCGGCTCAGCCTCAGTGTCTCGTCGATGGCCACCAGTGCTACCGAATTTGATACCTCCAGCTTCTCGTCGATGGCCACCGGGGGTACTGAACTTGATCGGCTCAGC